TCATTTGCATGTTCATCTCAGAAGAGAACCAGGCCTCTGGGGGTCCCGACAGGGTGCTGAGAGGAGGGGTCTTTCTTGTGTGGGACACACTCATGCTTCTGGCACCTGACCTTTGACTCCATGTATTTACTGAGTCTGGGTGTGTGGCTGGCTCTGTCCTGCAGCTGGGATCCACGTGGGCACAGAAACGTTCCCCAGCCCCCATCCTCAGTGAGGGCAGGATGGCTGCTGTGAGCCTCGATTCTGGGAGGTTCTGTGTGCAACAGGCAGGCCAGGAGGGCACAGCCCCTGCTCTCAGGACAGCCGGTCTTAGGAAAAGCTTTCACTCTGTGGAGCGGGGTGTCACTGAGCTGCTTACATGCTTTACGTCAGATAAAGTGGTCGGCAGGGTCCCTTCCTCAACGGAAATTCTGAGTAACGAGGTCAAGAGATCGAGACCATCCTGGTCAACATGGTGAAACCCCATCTCTACTAAAATTACAGAAAATTAGCTGGGCATGGTGGTGCGTGCCTGTAATCCCAGCAACTCAGGAGGCTGAAGCAGGAGAATTGCCTGAACCCAGGAGGCGGAGGTTGCAGTGAGCAGAGATTGCGCCATTGCACTCCAGCCTGGGTAACAAGAGCGAAACTCCGTCTCAAAAAAAATAAAAATAAAAATAAAAAAAGAAAATCAGTTCTCCAGATACTCCAGCCTCCCGGCCATCATGCTGCTCACTGCTGCAGTTCTGGGATGTGGCCACAAGAGGGCGGAGACGAGGCTCCCGGCTGAGCAGCGTCTGACCCCACCTGGCCAGCAGGTCAGCTGCCTCTGAATCGCCTGGGATGCCCGCGTTGACCGCTGTCTGGGACTGAGTTAGAATGCCCGAGGGTAAACTAGGTGTTGGCAGCTGTGATGACTTTGCAGGCACCGTGCTCACCTGGAAAATAGGGATTCATCCCATCTGGATAAGTAATTACTCCACTACCAGCTTAAGGACTGTTTGAACACCCAGGACGTTAAGTGCTGGCTCAGCGTTGCTGGGAGGCCCAGGTGAGTGAGGGGCCCCATTTAGCAAAGGTTCTGCTCGTGGCACTCTGCGCAAGGCTTAAAGCAGCCACTGGAAGATGCTTGCAAGCCAGAGCTTACCAAGGACCCCTGAGGAATAGAACGCGGCTTGGAGATCTGCGCGCATCGTGCAGGTGTGACCAGTGCGCTGCACCCGTGCGTTCACTTAAAGAAGTTCAATATTTTCCCTGAAGTTTTTGGTAAGCAGCTTTTAAAAACTATTTAATTTCTGTAGAGTTCAAGGGAAGCTTCCACGTAGCAAATTTCAAGTCATATGGCTGGAATTAAATTTTACGGCGTAAAAGTTCAAAACTGGCCTACTATAGCCGCAGGACTGAATGAGTTGACGTGAAGCGGTTCCATCGTGAGTCAATCAGCTCCCGCGGAGATGAGGGGTTTGGAGGCAGGCAGGTAGAGAGGACAGGAACTCCATGGCACTTAACGCCATTTTCCATCTTTCCTTCCTGTTCTTTCTGGTGCTGCTGGAAATCAGTACTGAGAGGAAAAGACTCAAATCTGGAAGCCTAGCACTGTAGGGGGAACTGGGTAGAAACACTATGCCTGTCCCCATCACTCGGGAACCACATCAGAACATCAAGGAAGCCTCCTAGTTCCATGTGCGTTAATTTCCACGTACATACATGTGAACGTTTCCCCACCTATAGTGTTTCTGTGGTGTGAGGCGTCAAAGCAGAGACAGGAGTATCTGTCTTTTGCAGTAGGCTCTGTTCTTTCTTGTCCTGAGAGAGGAGTTCAGTCCAGCCTTCACCTTGTGAGTTCAGCCTTATCCTGACCTGAGCCCAGGGCGGATCAGATGCCTAGATCAGGCGACTCCAAGTGGCAAGACATAATAGAGTGAAGCGTTGCTGCTGCATCCATGCCAGGTCCTAGTCCTGGCTCCCTCGGGCAGGCTAAGCTTTAGGAGAGGATGATAGGAATGCCGATTGTGGGGGTGGTGAGCACAAGAGAAAATGGGGAAAATGGGTTTCCTGCATGGTCAGTGCGCTACTAATTGTAGGTTCCCTGGTAAAAAGTAAAACCAATGCGCCCAGCCCACCGTTTTCCATGTCAAAAGGGCCATGAAGAAAGTTAAGATGTATCTCAGTGAGTTGCCAGGGAATCACTTGGCTTCAGAGGACAGTGGTTCTACCACTTTCCAGGAAGTTCTAAGGCCGGGCTACTCCAGAGGGCAGCGCCATCGCCAGCGATGTTCAAGTTAAACCAGGGTGGCACAGGAAACACCCACACTCCTGAGGGAGAGGCTGGCCCCCAAGGGGCCTCCTGTCTTGGGAGGGAAGTCTCACTAGATGGTTCCTAAGGCGGCTCCCCCAGGCTAGAATTTCAGAAACCTTTTCGTTGTGAAAACAAAACCCCTTAAGTGAGTTGTTTAATTACAACATAGAGGCTTGTTTATCAAGCTAAGTATGTGCTTGGAAACCCTCCTGAGAAATCAGAACTGTCACCCTGGCCTGTTAGCTGTGCTGTTTGTAAGGACTTTTGGCGTCCGCTCCAGTGGACGATGTAGAATTAGGTGAGGACAGTGTCGGCTCCTTACTGATCAGCCACAGTAAAGAGTGGATTTCTTCTCTCTTGCTTTCTGGGGGCTCTTAGTCAAAATTGATTGTTTCATAAAAAAGAGGAACCGAAGGAGAGAGACTAAAATTTGAATAAAAACTTGAATGCAAAAAAAGTGCAAACTGTTCTGCTTCGTCGATCTAAACGGCGTTCTGAGTGACCGACGCGCCTCTCTCTAGAGGGATGCCGTGCCTGGCTGCCTCTACACGTGGGCCATGGGGCACCTGTGTGCCATCTCAGTTGGCTGCCAACTATTTGTCCCCAAAGCATGTAAGTGCATGGTTTTAAGATCCTTCAAGTCAAAGTTTGCAGACAAACCTCCCTGTGCATTTCATTTGTCTGGCGTGGTGATGGGATGGCACAGAGGAGGGTCATCTCCAGGGGTGGACATGTGGCTTTGCTCTTTTCTGTGCCTGTAGTGAGGGGTGTGCTGTGGTCTCCTGGAAAAAGAAGTTGCTCCTGTCATAACTGGCAGCTCCCCTCGGTGGCCCTGGACTCTAGCTGAGAGAGAGAAAGTGTTCATTCAAAGCAACACAGCGGCTGCACCTTCGCCCACAGAAGCGCAGCATTGTTACGCAGAGGGTGTTATGCCAGGCACCACTACCTGGGACCTGAGAGTAGATTCCAGGGAATCTTTCTCATGGAACTGAAAATTCAATTCATTCCGTGAGAACTAATTGAGGGGGGTCGGGAGGAATGGAATGAAAATACCAACTTTCTGTGGTGCCATTTCTACCAGCAGATGCAGCTGAGAGAGACACCCCATGGCTCACCATCCACCTGGGCCGAAGAAAAGGGGAATGCTGGTTGGGAGGACGCTGTGGGCTCTCATCCTAACTCCTCTCTCTTCCTTTTCAGGGAGGAAGAGATAGTCGCTCTGGATCACCCATGGCTAGACGCTGAAAACCCACCTGGTTCCAGACTCCTGCCCTCAGCTTCTTAATATAACTGCCTTAAAACCTTAATCCCACTCGAACCCCTTACCGAGTTAGAGCAGATGCCCTCTCCCCTAATGCCTGTGGAGCTGTGCACATAGCAGGGCCGGGCACACGGCAGCCTGCGGCGATCTCTGGCCAACAGTTACATGGAGAAAATGGAAACAGTCCCTTTCCGTGTGCGGATCATACCCCTTTCCCGGCAGTGTGCCCGCAGACGCACACGGGTCTCCGCGCGCCAGGTGCACAGGCGTCCCTCCACGCTCACCCTCTATCCTTGGACTTTCTTTTCGCCATGGCTGCGGCATCCTCGCACTTTTGCTGGGCACTGCCATGGAGGTGCACAGCTGCAGAGACAGAGGACGAGGGCGGCAGAGAGGACTGTTGACATCCACGCTTCCCTTTTTTTTTTTCCAGTCTCCTCTCACCTCCTAAAGTAGATTTCATTTTTCCTAACAGGATTAGACAGTCGAGGAGTGGCTTACTATATGTGGGAGCTTCTGGTATGTGACATGTGGGCTGGGCAGCTGTTAGAGTCCAACGTGGGGCAGCACAGAGAGGGGGGCACGCCCCCAGGCCACGGCTGCCCACACACCCCAATTAGCTGAATTCGCGTGTGGCAGAGGGAGGAAAAGGAGGCAAACGTGGGCTGGGCAATGGCCTCACACAGAAACAGGGTCTTCCTGGAGATTTGGTGATGGAGATGTCGAACAGGAGGCCTCTGGATGCCACTGTTGCCCTGCATGGTGGCCCCAGAGCAGCCCCTATGAACAACCCCGTTTCTGAAGCAGAGCCCACAGCCGGAGAGTCCAGGAAGACTTGAGCACTCGGAGCAGAAGGTAGGAGTCCTCTGGGCAGCCTCACAGCCGCAAAGGTCGCCCTTAGACACCGTGGCCAGGCGTGCTGGCAGCGGCGGTGCACAGCAGCCGCACTAACCCTCCCTGAGAAGATAACCGGCTCATCCGCCTCCTCCCAGAAGACGCGTTGTAGCGAGTAGGCGTGCACCTGCTCCCGAACTACTCACTGAGACATGGGGGCTGCGCCGAGAAGAGCTCTTCTGACTGCGGCCTTCCTAACACCTGCTGACACCTCCCTTCGCTCTTCCCTCCCTAACCTACTGACCCACCTTTTGATTTTAGCGCACCTGTGACAGGCCTTCCAAAGAGCCTCACGCTGGCATCAACCTCCCTGGGGACGAAGATGAGGAAGCCAGCGTGATGCCAAAACGCGTCTCCTTAATCCCATTCTAATTCTGAATGTTTCGTTCGGGGTTAATATAATGTCTATTAATATATAGCCTCAAGATGAGAGGGTTACCAAGAACAAAACTGCAGACAAACCTCCACATTTTCCAGCAGAAGCGCTCTGCGATCCGTCCGTGGCCGCACCCACGCAGCACGTGCTGTGGCGACGGCTCATCAGAAAGTGTACACTCTTCCTGAATATTGAAATAAAACAATAAACTTTTAATGGAATTTGAACGGTGTCTTCTTTTGTGTCCCGGGCTGCAGCTCACAGGCCCGTGTCGTCAAGCAAGAGCCGGGTCTTTGGAGCTAATGTGACAGGGTGCCTCTGGGGCTCCAGGCAGGGCTGCCTTCTGCCTGTGGGAGGGCGTCCTCATCAGAGGGTCTCTGGCTACTGGAGAAGGTGGAACAGAGTTAGTTGTTAGGACACTGAGTCTCTCACCAGGAAAATAACATTCAGTGTCTCTGAAGACAAGCTTCCGATCTATGCCCCCTGCAGATTCGAACCCAGGAGTCTTGGACGACGGCCCCTGCCACCTTTTTCTCTGGCAACATGAAAGAGCGTGCTGTTTTACTTACAGTTGCCTTCAGTTACAAGAATTTTTCTTCAAAAAGACAAGACTAAAGTCTCTTTCATTGTTTCTTTTTCTTTTGAAACAGGATTCTGCTTTGTCGCCCAGGTTGGGCGCAATCCTGGCTCACTGCAGCCTCAACCTCCCAGACTCAAGCTATCCTCCTGCCAGAGCCTCCCGTTTAGCTGGGACTACAGGTGTGCACACCACCACGCCCAGCTAATTTTTATATTTTTTGTAGAGACAGGATCTCTCAATGTGGCCCAGGCTGGCCTCATCCTGACCTCAGGCGATCTGCCCACCTCAGCCTCCCACGATGCTGGGATCACAGGCGCCCGTCACCGCTCCTGGCCTTCATTTTGCTTTTAACGGAACCACCGGTTTCCTTCAGTCTAGCAGCAGCTGTGAGAAATGCTCTGTATTTGTGACCGTTAGGAAGGGACCCTCCACGCTGAATGAGGACAAGATTACACGCTCCTGTTTCCCAGGGATCAGAGAGCCTCAGACTCCAGCCTGAGGACCGAAGGGTGGGGAGCTTGGGAATATGACTACATTTATTGCGATAGCAGGAAAAACTGCTGAGGCTGGAGGCATGGCCGCCTGAGCCCCTGGCAGGCATGGCCGGCAGAAAGCCCACACCCACCTGTCTTGGCTGGAGTTCCCTCCCGGACCCCCTCCAACCGAGGAACTTGGAAAATCATGCAAAGATAGTTACATTTTGAAACTTGTATTCTTTTACTTGGGAAATTATCTTAATGGAACATACGTGGACAATGCCTGAAAAGGCAAACCAAGGGTACATCATAGGCTAGCACGTACCATGACAGCACAATACTCAGGTGAATATTTGGGAACGGAGCCAGGGAGCTTGTGTGCTCACTGAACACCTGCCTGCAGTGGCCTGCCCTGCCCACTTTCTCCTGAAGGTGACTGGAAATTAACTTACCTGGCTGAGAGCCAAGGGGGAGGCTGCCGGAGCCCCAGCCTCGTGGACGCAGAGGCCCATCCACACTGCCTGCACAGGCTGTAAGGCCCTCCCCCACCCCTGCAGGCCGTAAGGACCTTTCCCCGATTCCCCGCATCCCCCCCTCCCCCCCCGCCCCGCGCAGGCTGTCAGGCCCTCCCCCATCCCCCCACCCCCCTGCACAGGCTGTAAGGACCACTGTTAGTAGAAGCTAGAGGGGCCGTGAGGGGCCGTGGAGCTGGACATAGAAACCACGGTGATCACGCTTCCGTCTGCACAGCGGTGCCCTGCCACTCCATGCTGGCCGCCCATCTGGAGGGGCAGGGAGCGTGCATGGAGTTGACAGAGCAGCCTCCGAGCGTGGAGCGTAAAGTTCCCGCACAGAAAGACGAAATGTCTACGGAGCGCTGGCGAGGAGGAGGCAGTGGCGCAGCGAACGGGCAGCGGCTGGTTTGCCCAGGAGACACTGGTGAATGACCGTGCCTGGAACGGGAACTATCGATTGGAATCGGGATTATGTGAGAAGACAGACTAGGGACTGAGGGAGAAACTGTCAAACAGCGAGTGAGACTTTCTCTCCGAGCAACTTTTACAGAAGAGCAAAGCCATCAGTTAATTTGGGGCGTGGTTAGTCTGCTCAGGACCTCACAAGAGAATACAACAAAGTGGGTGCCTTAAGCCAGACAGTTACTTCCTCAGTTCTAGAGGTGGCAAGTCCAAGATCAAGGTGCTGGTCTCTGGCGAGGCCTGTCCTTGGATCGCTGTGTCCTCACATGGCACAGGGAGACCCTGGGTGTCTCTTGTTCACATAGGGACACCATTCTTACTGGGTTAGAGCCCTGCCCATCTGCCTCATTTAACCTGAATTCCCTCCGTAAAGGCCCTGTCTCCGAATGCAGTCACATTGGGAATTAGAGCTTCTGAAACTATACATTTTGGAAGGACACGATTCTGTCCATAACAGAAATCTATTATTCCTCATGTAACAACAAATATTTTCTAAGCCACCATTTGGCAAGATGTTAGAATTAAACCCAAGACTCTGCAGTGCTCTTACCTCTTTGCCGAAAAAGACACTGAGGCGAAGCATGTCGTCGCGCGTCTCTGTGGTGACCCCTCCGAGGCGAAGCACGTCGGCACGCGTCTCTATGGTGACTCCTCTACTGTAAATAGCAGCTAGTCACTGAAATCCTAAACGAGGTGATAGGGAGGCAAAGGCTGACCCAACAGCACAGACCGGACTGTGCGGTGTGTTAACCACTGCAGCTCTCCAGCGCGAGACGCGGACCGCACCGGCCGCAGAAGTAAAATGAATGGTCTGGTTTTGTACAAGCAGGCTGATTTCAACCTGCGCTCTCATCCACCTTCCAGGCAACTCCGGCCTCGTCTCAGAGGCAGGCCAGGGCTCCCCATTCTCCAGCCTCTTACCTCAACTTCCCACCACCAGGAAATGGCTTATCTGGCTTTGGAATCTTACAGACTCCTAGAGCTGGCTAATAGGCTGAGACTCGAGGGCATCCATAAAACAGTGACTCCTTCCGCTACCTCCCACAGCAGCCAGGGCCCCTCCACCTCTCAGCTAAGTTCCCGCTTCTGATTTAAAGTTCATGTGAAAAGCAGAGATGATCCTGAGTTAAATCTCCCTTCCAATATGGTGGCCAGGCTGCTCCCCAGGGTCAGCAGCCTGCCTGCCTGCCTGCCTGCCTTGAGCAGGTTGTTGCAAAAGCCCTTAGGATCATGCCCCTGCCACACATGTTGGGCAGCTCTCAGGTCTCCTGGGAGACAGTTTCATCTACAATACCAGGCTATGGCCAGCGTGGTGCATGGAAGACACCATCACTCAGACGAGGGCAGTGCGAGAGGGGTCTATGGAGACCCGCACATGGAGAGGTCTCAGTTCTTTCCTTACAGCTTTTCTGTAAGCTTGAAACTGCTTTTAAAAAAAAAAAAAAAGAAAGAAAGAAAGAAAGAAAAGAAAAAAAGAACAGGCCAGGTGTGGTGGCTCACATATGTAATGTAATCCCAGCGCTTTGGGAGGCTGACGGGGGTGGATGGCCTGAGCTCAGCAGTTCAAGACCAGCCTGGCCAACATGGTGGAACACCGTCTGTACTAAAAATACAAAATTAGCCGGGTGTGGTGGGGTGTGCCTGTAATCCCAGCTACTCCATAGGCTGAGGCAGGAGAATCACTTGAACCCAGGATGTGGAAGTTTCAGTGAGCCAGTATACCATTGCCATTGCCCTTCAGCCGGGGCAACAGAACAAGACCCTGTCTCAAAAAAAGAAAAAAGACAAAGACTTTGCATTACTGAAGTTGGCAAAGGTGACTGAAAGGTAACTGGAGAAAATGTGCATGGTGAAGAGCCGGGGCAGTGGCTCACACCCATACTTTCAGCTGCTCAGGAGGTGAAGGCCAGGGTGTGGGGATCACCTGCAGCCAGGACATTGAGACCAGCCTGGGCAACATAGCAAGACCCTGTCTCTAACAAAATAATGAAAATTAGCCGGGTGCGGGGTGTGCATCGTAGTCCCAGCTATTCGGCAGGCTGAGGCGGGACGATCACTGAGTCCAGGAGGTTGAGGCTGCAGTGAGCCATGATTGCACCTGCACTCCAGCCTGGAGACAAAGTGAGACCCTACCTCAAAAATAAAAGGAGCATCTGGAGGCAGACTGGCCAGCTGTTGTCCATCGCTACCCAGAACTACTAAAAAATTGGCTAACAGCAAAGTGAGCTGCTTCATGTTAAATGTAAGAATTTCTTTCTTACAGAGCTTTGTTACCAAGGTAACCAATGATCTCTTTGTTCTAATTACTAAAATAGTAACATACAACTCTCTTCATTGGCCCAGAATAATAACACTGGGAAGCATCTGCTAATCGGTAGAAGGGGTGTGTGAGGCATCTCCGTGGGTGTGCCCAGTGACATCTGTCATTCTTTCTGTAGGGCCTTAAGGGACTGAATGTTTCAAAGGTGCCAAGTCACAAGAGAATGTCCTCAATGATGGGGGCAGTACTGGGGGTGGTGTGGAATATCAGTAACATGTATTTAACAACTTCCATGCATATCATAAGCTGAGCCAGGGCTGTCCCCAGGCCTCCAGAGTGAGCTGACCAGTGTCAGCAGCCATGAAGCATCCCAGGTTCTCCCATTTCCTTCCAGGACAGCCTCCCAGCCTCCTGGCTGCTGGCAGAAGACACAGGCTCCTGGGTGACAAAAGGGATTTTACTCACAGTACCAGGGGTAGCCAGACAGCATTTGTTTGGACAATTAAGCCCCCATCCCCAAAGCTCCACGCAAACTGGGCCAGGGGATGCCTGCAGAGTGGGTGGCGTGGTAGGGGAGGGGCTGAGCTTGGGGAGCGGAATTTCAGCTGCTCAGGCCAAGGCAGCGGGATCACTGGAAATTCGCCTACCCAGCCTTTGGTACGAAGGGCGACAGTGTCTTCATTACACCCATCGGTAAGCAAGCATCCCTTCACGCTGGAGAAAGAGGCCGTCTCCATCTCCCCCGCTGCACTCTGTACAAACAGCGCAACAAGAACATCTGCAGAAGACCAACAGAAATGCCAGGGCCCATGCAGAGGGACTCCCACTGCCTCATGGCCGGTTAACTGAGAATCCAAGTAGAAGGCAGAGCTGAAAAGAAAGAAAGTCAATTAACTTACCCCAGGGACAAGGAGCCAGGCCTAGAGAATGTGACTGGCTGGCCCAGGGACAGGGAGCACCAGAGGTGCACCAGAGCTCATCTGAGTGGGGGCGCAGGCTGCCTGCCTCCCAGCATTCGAGCGCACAGCATACTGGCAGGTGCAAGCCTTTGCTCTTGCTTAAGGGGGACCACTCCATTCACTCGCACAGGGAGCCCAGCCTCCGGGTAAAACTCACCTGGTAAAGCACTGCCAGTAGTTGAGACAATCCACCGTAGTGGGAATACACTTTGTATAATTTGATAGTTAAAAAAAGCCCTTCCTTCACCCACTCCATTTCAAAATCTATCAGAGCAATATGGCTCCTACAAGCAAAGAAACAAGCAGAAAGAACAGTAAAGCAATTTCCTAACATTCCCTCTTGGCTGCATTCAGGAGGTCACTATCACTTTAACTTTTTCAGTCCAAAAATGTCTGGAGTCCCTACTCAGTGCCAGAAATAAGGTGATCCAAGAAGAAATACATCATAAATTTATTTCAATAGAATGATGACTCTCTCAACTACGGACTTCTTCAACAGTTTGGAAAGGTAAGGCACAGTAAAACAGATTAATGTGTATTTTAAAAGAACCTGATGATATAAAGTAACTCCATGGGTGCTCTGGGAAGTCCAGGACCTGGCATATCTCATAAACAGACACACGGATATTATGATGGATGTGCATTTCACTTCCGCTCACTCTTCAACACCTTTCAAACCAGAGAGAAAGCAGAGAGGAGGAGCAGGGGACATCCTCCAGGATTTAATGCCCTGGCTTGAACCGATGGTCAAATCAGCACTGCCCTATGTGCTGAGCCGTGCCAAGCGTGACCTAGAGGAAGCATCCATCTTTAAATAGTTGTGAGTCACCCAGCACCCAAATAAGTATACAGGAGTTTTAAAATAATACAGAAACTATTTTTATTGTTTTAAAGCCAGCACCATGGCTTTCGGCATCACTATCCATTTCTAATACAAAACTGGATTAAATAAATACCATCCAATGTATAAATAGACCATGAAACAATAGTGAAGATAAAAAGATAATTCTTCCATAAATAAAAAAAAATTAACTTAAAAATTTTCTTTAGTGGTGAATCAAGAACGAATTCCTATGCCACTTTAGAATCCGTCAATTATGATACAAATCTTGATTGAATACAAAAGTCTTCATGCTGTAAAAATGTTACACACAAAAAGATTCAATAGAAAAATCTCTCCTGACTGCCTATTGCTCCTGCCATTTATACTAAACTTCCTGTTTTAGTGCCTTCAATGTCAGTCATCCGCATAAGGAACTGCCAAGGTCTCTGTTAGGGCGAGTGTGTGCTCATCCGCGCGGCAGTCTGAGGAGGGAATCGGTTCACAGAGGGTGAGCCCCCAGCCCCCAGGACAAAGAACATGTCTCTCTAGGCATGTGTGGGCATCTCACCCACACAAAGCTCTGTGGCTCCCACTTTCTCCACAGTGAAGAAGATGCCAGCTCTGTGGCCTCTGGCGTATGATCCTTTCATTAGAATGCGGTAAAGATGTAGAGGCCCCAAGTAGAGATACGACATTAAGTTGCGTTATGTATGTACGCACTTTTGAAATTTTATTCTAAAAGATCCAAAGTACCCACGTTGCACGAACACAGAGTAAGTGACACAGAGAGAGCTCTTCCTTCAGAACTAACACTTGCAGGATGTCACCTCTGCCTCACTTACTTCCTACGCGGTAGGTCTTGCAAAAGGGACAAATTCACAATGATCAACCCTTGGTTTAACTTCTTTTGCGGGGGAGGGCGATATTAATTTTGAAATAAGCTTCAGAAAAAAATGTAAGAAGCAGACATCAGACAGACTTAGAAATATTAACTAGAAAGCAGTTCTATGTGTCTTACAAATTTCCTTTAAAAATGTTACATACATAAATCTTGAAATTAATGTACATGTCAAACTATTTTATCCTGAATATTACCAAAATAAATCTGTGTGATGGTCATTTCATGTTAAAATGTGTATCCTAACGAGTTACAAATATTCTTCTAAAAAAGAGGAAAACTCACAGCAAGAACAGAAATCCACTTCTGCTGTAAAAAATCTTGTACCTGTGTGAACACGTGCGTCTCTTGCAATAAATGTGATATAAGAGTTCAAAGGAAGACACAGAACACTGGCTATAATTTCAAAATTCAAGTTTCCTTAAAAAGTTCCAATGGGGTGTAGAAAGTATGCGCGAGGGAACACCCCGTGATTAAGTGCTGGACAAGCACAGATGTTCCATGTCCCACCCGAAGAACACAGCAAGATGAGGGTGGCGTTTGATCAGCCCCCACTGGCCTGGCTGGCAGAGGCCGTGTCACAGAATTTCTTCTATTTAGATAATTTCTAAGCACCTCAAGTTTTTAAAGGGGGCAAAAGCACAGCTTGGTCGGGGTGGGGTGGCATCTGAATCTGCATTTTTGAAAGAAGGTCTTTCTTTTCACCTACTGCCGTTCCTTGGAGACACAGCCACCGGGACTCCACACGCTTCGTGCCTCCTGCTTCCTCAATGCCTGCAACTCAGCTTCATGTTCAGTATCTTTGCAAAGGCCATTCATTCTTTCAGCTTACCTGCTGCACAGCTACCTGAGCACAAAAGCAGGATCAAGACACTTAGGAACTTTTGAAAGGCTCCTAAATGACTGCGTGCCGTTGAACACAGCAGCAAACGAAAGGGCACGGGAGCAAACGAAAGGGCACAGGAGCAGCTGTGGCACAGGCCCGGGGTACTCACTGCCGCAGAGCCACACCCTGATTTTTAAAGTCTGACACCTTTCCAGGGGACATTCTGGGGGTAAGCTCCTCCAAACTTCACAGAAATGAAGAAAAATACCATTGAAGTTCTCTCTTAAAAATATCTGAACTTGAAATTAACTTACACGCCAAACTATTTTAAGTATTTTCAAACAAAAAAAATTAATCACATATCCTAACTTCATTTTTTATTTATAGCTATTCCAAAGCAGATATGCTACGATGAGATAGTTCTAAAAATACAGTTCATTATCCTCAAAACCCTGGTTATACATGAGGCTAGAAATCTCTTTTCTAGAATTTTTAAAACAACCAGTAAAATAAAAAGATCAACCTGTACCCCACATAGATTCAAGTAAAATTATGTCTTTTCAAAACCTTATATTTTCAAGGAATGTTCTGCAAAAAAGCATCTTTTATAATTAGGAAGTAAATCAAAATAATACATAAAATGTCTTATGTTTGCCTGCTAATAAATTCAGAAAAGACACAAAATTGAATGATTGATATTTTCTTTTTCTTTAACCAAAATAAAAGTTGGCTCTCGATTCACCTGTTAAGGCCTTAAATAGTTAATTAACCAATACAATTCACCAAACTATGCTTTCTATACAATTAGGAATTAAACAACCCCTTTTAGAGCTGTCCTGAGATGATATTTAATTCTAAAATCCAAATAAATAACCCAGCAAGAACAAAAATTTTAAATTCCAGTAATTTAAAGTTTGGGGATATTTGTTCACCAAAATTAATCAACATTTCTCAAATATTTCAATACAAAATTATAAAATAAAAAGTGCATTAAAAGCAGAACCTTTAAAACTCTAGCACAATTACAATTATTCTGCATATGCCAATTACAGCCAGGTTCCCACAGACATTCAAGGAAGGAAACCTCGGGACTGGTAAGAAGTCCAGTATCACAAGAATAAGTCAAATAAGGCTTTTCTTTTTCTTAAAAAAATATACAATAGACAAAACAGTTTGGAAAAGAAGTAATATTATTTAACAATTTTCTGACTTAAATATTTTCACATAACAAAGTTTTCATATCATCATCAGTATTACTTATATACATATGCCAAAAGTGAACAACAACAAAAATCAAAAGAGGCCCTTTCAAAGTAAAAGTAAAATGTCTATTTCTTTAGGAAACTGAAATGAGCTCCTCTCTTAATATACAAAGTCCATACAATATTTATAATAAAACTATTCTCTTCTGAAATCAAGGAGGCAATGAGAGAAAATAAAGGCAATTATTTTTCAGGAAAAAAAATAAAACCCAGCTTTATATTACAATGAAAAAGATATCCATTTATTAATAAAATGAATGCAATACTGATCTGAAGTGCTCGTGGGGAGGTGACACTCAGACGCTCTTTCTGCAATTAGGACCAGTGCTTATATTTACAAAATATACTGTTCAGCCACACAGAGGCCCATATATCTATGTACATATGTATTTATATATAGAACATATAAATAATTTCAAAGGAAAAATCAACATGAAGTAAAGAACCTTCCATCTTTGGAATGCTGTAGGAATGGTGTGCACACACTCTGCCCAGCACGGGTGGGATTTGGTTTGGGACATGTTTAATGTGGCACCATTGACGATACTGAAGAATTCCCTGAAATCAAAAACACATCTGTTTATGCACAAAGAGAAAGTCATGGGGTTTTTATGGATTCTAAACCATAAGCTACAAATATGCTTCTTATTTGCTGAGGTGGACAGGGCCACGGTTACCTGTTCCTAGCAGACAATTCTGTGATTTCCTACTTGCGATGTATGGCTTGTGCTTCTGCAATGATCTAACCCCTGTACCTGATCATAGATTGATGCAATAAGCGTGTCACCAGCCCATGTGGACAGTTGAATCCTTATTTGTGGGTCAGGTTTACTCAAGTCCCTGTGTTGACGCCCCAGATACTGCATTCTTGTAACTAATGATTAAATATTTGTCATGGAGAGAATTGGTCCAGCCATCTCTCAAGGTATCAGTTATATTAACTTATGGTAGACTAAAAAGAGTCAATGTTCACTAATTTTCAAAATGCACAGAGAAAAGAGTGGAAAACTCCCCTGTGTATAGGAACATTTTCCTGTGAACTTCATGCACCAATCTTACGCTTCCTTTGTAAGCTATGCTTCTCATAACCGGAAGCCTGAAGAACAATCTTACAGACTTTTGCCATGTTAGCTTTTTTGTCTTTGCTAATACAAAGAAATCACACTACAATGATAGTAAGACTCAGTTAACTGCTATGTGGACTAGACGCACTGGCCACGGAGGAGACTGAGGAGGAAACTGCCCACTGTAGTACCTGAGTTCAGTGATTTGTAGACGAGAGAACAACGCGGTGACACTTTTCCCAGTTTTTTTCCTGTGAGTCTCTGAAAGACAATGATTCTTTAGATAATTTTATAGCTGAAAAACTATTGTGGTAACGTTTTTAACACTTGAAGCTTTAAAACAGAGATTCCAAGTGCTTTGTTCTTCAAAAAATGTAACTTCAGAAACGTTCTGAAAGGTGTACTTGCGACTCGCATCAGAAGACGTGGGTGAGGGTCTGCCACTCGCCCGTGGCCTCCTGTACCACCTCCTCCAGGTGGAGGGTCCGGCTCAGCTCCTCCCCGTCCTGTTCCGGGTGACCTGCAGGCTCCTGCAGTGCTCCTGTCAGGTGGACAAAGAAAACACAAGCAGGCTCAGACCTTCCAGAGTATGAAATGACTCCCATTTAAATAAAGACTTCTCAGCAAACAGACACAAGACATTTCTAAAGTGATTTGCTTTGCATTCCAATGGAAAAAGAATAATTTGAGCTGCAGGTGAAATAACTCTGCCGTCAGTAGTTAGTGTTATGTGAATATGATCACATACAGAGCACTAGTGATATGAGTGCAGTCCCATGACGGCTACATTAACACAGTATCAGCAATGAGCAATTAATAACCAACCCACATGATTTTTATAATAGGAAGGAAAGTAGGAAGCACTACAGTGTAGATGTTAAAGAGAAAAATTACTCCTTTTTCCTTCCTCAAAAACTCCCTACAATATAATGTTCTGCCCTTGGGTTCCCTACACATCTAAATCTCAGCCACTGAACACTGAAAGATGTTGAGCTCCCTTCACAAAGTACAGCACCTCAAAACAACCAAAGAACACCTGAAAGTCTCACGGATCACACCACCACCTCCAACAACCAATCACAGATCTCACACATCACACCACCTCCAAAAACCCAATCACAGATCTCACACATCACACCACCTCCAACAACCCAATCACAGATCTCACACATCACAACGCCTCCAAAAACCCAATCACAGATCTCACACATCACACCACCTCCAACAACCCAATCACAGATCTCACACATCACACCACCTCCAACAACCCAATCACAGATCTCACACATCACACCACCTCCAAAAACCCAATCACAGATCTCACACATCACACCACCTCCAACAACCCAATCACAGATCTCACACATCACACCGCCTCCAACAACCAATCACAGATCTCACACATCACAACGCCTCCAACAACCAATCACAGATCTCACACATCACAACGCCTCCAACAACCAATCACAGATCTCACACATCACACCACCTCCAACAACCAATCACAGATCTCACACATCACACCACCTCCAACATCCAATCACAGATCTCACACATCACACCACCTCCAACAACCAATCACAGATCTCACACATCACACCACCTCATCACAGATCTCACACATCACACCACCTCCAACAACCATATCACATATCTCAGAACACACCACCTCTAACAACCAAGTTACAAATCTCACAGATCACACCACCTCAAACAATAAATCCCAGATCTCACCAACTCCAACAACCCAATCATATATCTCAGATCACACCACCTCCAACAACCCAATCACACCTGGAAAATGCATGGAGCGCACCAAGGGCTCTACTCAGACTTAACATTTCCAGCTCCCTGCATAGCCACCGCCACCCTCTGAAACCTAAGCTAGGGCATTTACTGTCATTCCTGCCTTAGAGATAGATGGCACTGCTAGATTCTGTGTAGAAAACATAGGTGGAAAAGAGACAGACAGGCAGTAGGATCACACCCCAACATCCATACCCTGAACGGCATGAATGTGAGCGAATCAAGAGAGAAACCAGGGCCCGCGTGTCATCTGTGCCAGGTCAACAGGATGCAGACAGGAGCAGTTGGTGCAGATTCTGTTTGCTCTATGCCCCTGAGCACCGAGACAGCACCTGAACTGCATGCTGTAGGAAAAGGGGCTTCCAGACATGTAGTGAAGACATACGCAGAGATGTTATTCTGGGCCTTTGACTGCCCAGGTGCTGACAGGCTCTACAGAGAGCTCTGTCCAGTGGGAAACAAGCTGCTCAGAAATGCTGCACTTGCTCAGGTTCTGAGTTGCCATTTTACTCCAGTCAATTTCTGTGAACTTGCCATAATAAATCAGAAATATAATCTAATCAAATCGCGCGCGCGCGTGTGTGTGTGTGTGTGTGTATGTGAAGGGTACAGTCCATAGCCAACTTCAACCACTGCATACACTAAGTATGAAAGTGGCAAAAGCACAGGCTTCCTTCTGGGAACAACATTTGGAGGCTTGCATTGTGAATTTTTGCTCCAGAACAACCACAGGAATAAATCAGAAACCTGAGAGGACCCACAGATCCTCTGAAGGAAGTGGATTCCTCCTGCAGGACCCAGGAGACACCCCAAGTACTGAGTCACAGCAAGAGCAGCCCAAGGAGAGTCTGAGCTCAGATAGGCCTAGCCCAGCCCCCACCAAAAGGTCCTTCCCTACCCGCCCTGGTAGTGGAAGACAAAGGGTGTATACTCTTGGGAGGTCTAGGACCCTGCTCACTGCCTGTTCCTCACTACACTACCACAGCTGATGCTCTCTGGAAAGCACCACCTCCGACAGGAGGCCAGTGCATTAAACCACCAAACCTAAGAACCCTCACAGAGTCCACTTCACTCTCCTGCCACCTCCACCAAAACAGGCGCTGGTATCCACGGCTGAGAGACCCACGGATGGTTCACCTCACAGGACTCTGTGTAGACAACCCCCAGTACCAGCCTGGAGTTGGGTAGACTTGCTGGGTGTCTAGACCCAGAAGAGAGATAACAATCACTACAGCTGGGTTCTCAGGGAGCCACAACCATAGGAAAAGGGGGACCGTTCCACATCAAGAGAACACCCTGTGGGACAAAAGAATCTGAACCACAGCCTTCAGCCCTAGACCTTCTCTCTGACAGAGCCTACCGAAATGAAAAGGAACCAGAAAATAATTCTGGTAATATGACAAAACAAGGCTCTTTAACACCCCCAAAAGTCATACTAGTTCGCCAACAATGGATCCAAACCAAGAAGAAATCCCTGATTTACCTGAAAAAGAATTTAGGAAGTGAGTTATTATGCTAATCAGGAAGGCACCAGAGAAAGGTGTAGCCCAAATTAAGGAAATAAAAAAAAAAAAAATGATACAAGACGTGAAGAGAGAAATATTCAATGAAATTGACAGCATAAATAAGAAACCAGGAAAACTTCAGGAAACTACATACTTATAGAAATGCGAAATGCTCTAGAAAGTCCTAGCAATAGAATAGAGCAAGTAGAATAAAGAAATTCAGAGCCTGAAGACAAGGTCTTCAAGTTAATCCAATTCAACAGCAAGGAAAAAACAGTAAGAAAATACAAAGCTTCCAAGAAGTCTGGGATTATGCTAAATGACCAAACCTAAGAATAATCAGCATTCCTGAGAAAGAAGAGAAACCTAAACATTTGGAAAACACATTTGGGGGAATAATCGAGGAAAACTTCCCAGCCTTGCTAAAGACCTAGATATCCAAATACAAGAAGCACAAAGAACACCGGGAAATTCACTGCAAAAATATCATTGCTTAGCCACACTCAGCAATAGCAGTTAAAAAAGACAAAGAGGGACATTATATAATGACAAAAGGCCTTGTCCAATAGGAAAATACCACAATCCTAAATATACATGCACCTAACATTGGATCTCCCAAATTTATAAAACAGTTACTAACACATTTAAGAAATGAGAGAGAGCGGAACACAATAATGGTGGGGGACTTCAATACTCCACTGATAGCACTAGACAGGTCATCAAGACAGAAAGCCAACAAAGAAACAATAGACTTAAACTATACCTTGGAACAAACGAACTTAACAGATATATACAGAACATTCTATCCAACAACTGCAGAATATACATTCTGTTCAATGGTGTATGGAACTTTCTCCATGATAGACATATCATGGGCCACAAAATGAGCCTCAATAAATTTAAGAAAATTGAAATTATATCAAGGACTCTCTCAGACAACAATGGAAAAAAACTGGAAATCAACTCCAAAAGGAATCTTCAAAACCATGCAAATACATGAAAATTCTATAACCTGCTCCTGAATGATCATTGGATGAAAAATGAAATCAAGACAGAAATTCAAAAATTCTTTGAACTGAACCACAGTAGTGACACAACCTATCAAAATCTCTGGGATACAGCAAAGGCAGTGCTAGGAGGAAAGTTTATAGCCCTAAATTTCTACATCAAAAAGCATAAAAGAGCACACACCTCAGGGAACTAAAGAAACAAGAACAAACCAAAACCAAACCCAGCAGAAGAAAGGAAATAACATAGTTCAGAGCAGAACTAAATGAAATTAAACAAAGAAAAAACAAAAGATAAATAAACAAAAAGCTGGTTCTCTGAAAAGATAAATAAAATTGATAGACCATTAGCAAGATTAACCAAGAAAAGAAGAAAGAAAATCCAAACAAGGTCACTAAGAAATGAAACAGGAGATATTATGACTGACACCACAGATAAATAAAAGATCACTCGAGGCTGCCATGAACACCCTTACACGCATAAACTAGAAAACCTAGAAGAGATGGATAAGTTCCTGAAGAGATACAACCCTCCTAGCTTAAATCAAGAAGAATGAGATACCCTGAACAGACCAACGAGCAGGAAAATTGAAATGGCAATTTTAAAAAATTACCAACCAAAAAAAAGTCTACAACCAGATGGATTCACAGCAGAATTCTACCAGACGTTCAAAGAAATGGGACCAATCCTTTTGACACTATTCTACAAGACAGAGAAAAAGAGAGCCCTTCCTAAATCATTCTATGGAATACCCGAATACCAAAACCAGGAAAGAACATAACCAAAAAAGAAAACCATAGACCAATATTCCTGAGGAACACAGATGCTAAAATCTTTAACAAAATATTAGCTGACTGAATCCAATAATATATCAAAAAGATAAACCACCGTGATCAAGTAAGTGGGTTTCATACCAGGGATTCAGGAATGGTTTAACATATGGAAGTCAATAAATGTGATACACCACATAAACAGAATTAAAAACAAAAATCACACGACATTTCTAAAGATGGAGAAAAAGCATTTCACAAAATCCAGCATCACTTTACGATTAAAACTCGGCATACAAGGGACATACCTCAATAATAAAAGCCATCTATGACAAACACACCGCCAACATAATACTGAATGAGGAAAAGTTGAAAGCATTCCCTCTGAGAACCCGAACAAGACAAGAATGCACACTCTCACCACACCTCTTCAACACAGTACTGGAAGTCCTAGCCAGAACAATCAGACAAGAGAATGAAATCAAGGGCACCCAAATCGGTAAAGAGGAAATCAAACTGTCACTGTTTGCTGATGATGATTGTTTACCTAGAAAACCCAAAAGATGGCCAGGTGCGTTGGCTCACACCTATAATTCCAGCACTTTGGGAGGCTGAGGTGGGTGAATCATGAGGTAAGGAGATCAGGACCATTCTGGTCAACATGGTGAAACCTCATCTCTATTAAAAATACAAAAATTAGCTGGGTTTGATGGCGCATGCCTGCAATGCCAGCTACTCGGGAGGCTGAGGCACAAGAATAGCTTGAACCCAGGAGGTCGAGGTTTCAGTGTGTTGAGATTGTGCCAGTATACTCCAGCCTGGTGACAGAGCAAGACTCTGTCTCAAAAAGAAAAAAAAAGAAAGAAAGAACGAAAAAAAAACCCAAAAGTGTCCTCCAGAAGACTCCTAGAACTGATAAAAAGAATTCAGCAGTTTCCAAATACAAAATTAATGTCCACAAATCAGTAGCTCTTCTATACACCAACAGCAACCGAGCTAAGAATCAAATCAAGAACTCAACCCCTTTTACAATAGCTGCAAAAAAAACCAAAAAACTTAGGAAAATACCTAACCAAGGAGGTGACAGACCTCCACAAGGAAAACTACAAAACACTGCTGAAAGAAATCACAGACAACACAAACAAATGGAAACACATCCCATGCTCATGGTTGGGTAGAATCAAGACTGTGAAAATGACCATACTGCCAAAAGCAATCTACAAATTAAATGCAATCCCATCAAAATACCACCATCATTCTTCACAGAATTAGAAAAAACAATTCTAAAATTCATATGGAACCAAAAAAGACCCCACCTAGCCAAAGGAAGACTAAACAAAAACAACAAATCTGGAAGCATCACATTACCCAATTTCAAACTACACTATAAGGTCACAGTGACCAAACCAGCAGATACTGGTATAAAAATAGGTGCACACATCAATGGAACCGAATAGAGAACCCAGAAATAAACCCAAATACGTACAGCCAGCTGATCTTTGACAAGCCAAGCAAAAACACAAAATGGGGAAAGGACACCCTTTTCAATAAAAGGTGCTGAGATAATTGGGTAGCCACATGTAGGAAAATGAAACTGGATTCTCTCTCTCACCTTATTCAAAAATCAACTCAAGATCGATTAAAGACTTAAGTCTAAGACCTGAAACTATAAAAATTCTAGAAGATAACATTGAAAAAACCCTTCTAGACATTGGCTTAGGCAAAAATTTCATGACCAAGAATGCAAAAGCAAATGCAATAAAAACAAAAATAAATAGCTGAAACTTCATTACACTAAAGAACTTTTGCATGGCAAAAGAAACAGTTAGCAGAGTGACCAGACAACACACAGAGTGGGAGAAAATCTTCACAATCTGTACATCCGACAAAGGACCAATATCCAGAATCTACAACGAATTCAAACTAATCAGCAAGGAAAAAACCAATCCCATGAAAAAGTGGGCTAAAGACACGAATAGACAATTTTCACAGGAAGATATACAAATGGCCAGCAAACACATGAAAAAATGCTCAGCATCACCAATGATCAGGAAAATGCAAATCAAAACTACAAAACAATGCCATTTTACTCCCACAAGAATGGCCATAACCAAAAAATCAAAAAACAGTACATGCTAGTATGGATGCAGTGAATAGGGAACACTTCTATACTGCTGGTGGTAATGTAAACCAGCACAGCCACCATGGAGAACAGTGCAGAACTAGAAATGGAACTACCATTTGATCCGACAATCCCACCATTAAGTATCTCTACCCAGAGGAAAATAAATCATTGTATGAAAAGACATTTGCACATGCATGTTTATAGCAGCACAATTTGTGATTGCAAAAACAGGGAACCAACACAAATGCTCATCAATCAATGATGGATAAAGAAACTGTGGTGTACATATATGATGAAATACTACTCAGTCATAAAATGGAATGAATTAACAGCATTCGCAGCGACCTGGATGAGACTGGAGGCCATTATTCTAAAAAAAGTAACAGGAATGGAAAACCAAATATCTTATGTTCTCAGAAGTGGAAGCTAAGCTACCAGGATACAGAGGCATCAGAATGACACAATGGACTCTGGGGACTCAGGGGGAAAGGGTGGGGGGGGAGGGGTAAGACAACAAACCGGATGCAGTGAGTACTGCTTAGATGATGGGTGCACCAAAATCTTACAATCACCACTAAAGAACTTACTCATGTAACCAAACACTACCTGTTCCCCAACAACCTATGGAAATAAAAAAATAAAATAAAGCGCAGGCTTCCAGTCCACGCAACTGAGGCTGTGCCATGTGCACTGCACAATCAAACAATGTATCCGCAACACATGGTGCGTTGCAGGCTGCCAAACAGCACGCACTCCCCGGCGCAGCCTCCTCACCAGCATAGCTGTGCGCCCGCTTCATGTGTAGCTTCATGTTGCTCTTCTGCGTGAAGCCCATGACGCAGTAGGCGCACTTGTAGGGCCGCTCTCCCGTGTGCTTCTTCATGTGCACCTGCAGCGCGCTCTTCTGGTTGAAGGCTTTCTCACAAAGCGTGCAATGGAATGGCCGCTCCCCTGTGCAGAAACGGCACACGTCAATGTCTCTAAGAAGAGTGCAGGGGACGCCTGGGCTCAGCCCTGAGGTGTGAACAAGAGGGACTGAAGGCTTCTCTTTTCTCTTAGGCTTTCAGCCTGGCTGTTGTCTGAACAAAAGGCTGGCAGAGCCATGGGGAGACCAGAGGGAGCCTGGCCCACAGCAGATGGGGCGGAGGGACCAGAGAGCCTGCGGAAGCCCCGGCCCACGGTGAGTGGGTAGTCATCAGATGACCACAACAGAAATGAGCCCAGGATGATGTGCTGTCAGGGCAGGGCAGAGACAGAAGGGCTGACGTGGAGCTATCATATCCCAGCCGAGAGGCAGAGAGATGGGAGAGCGTGTTTCTTTGTTCTGTGTTTTTTTTCTCTAAGACAAAAAGTTTGAGCAGATTTAGGTGGTGTAGGAAAAGCCAGTAGAGAAAAAAAGTTTTAAGACAGAAGGGGAAGACTAAAAATGAAGTTCCCCAGTGACTTGAGGACGTGGGACCCAGGAACTGGGGGTCGCCTGTCTGCTCTAGCAGGAGGGCAGAAGGAAGGCGACGTGTCAACATCGCAGACACGGCACGGGAGCCTTGCCTGATGCTTGTTTCCTATGGTCATAATGTAAGCAGCAAAATCTTCTGGGTGAAAAGTTAGTTAAGATGACAAATAGGTCAAAAATAAGGGGCAGTGAACATGTGGCCCCCTGCTTTATAAACAAAGCATTACATCACTTGTGAATATTGGACAGGTGGAATTCTGTTTCCTCGCCCATGATGTCTACTTCAAGGAGTCAGGAAACCAGCACATCCCTCCCCATTACCTGTGTGGATGCGGCTGTGGCGCTCCAGCTGGCTTGGTTTGGCAAACGCCTTCTCACAAGTGTCGCATTTAAACACTCTTGGCTTCTGGGAGCTCAAAGAGGGGCCGGCCTGGTGCGTCTGCATGTGCTCCTGGGAGACAACACACAGAAACCAAGAAACGAGATCAAAATGGAGCTTTCAAGACTGGAAACAAGACAGAGCAAATCACGCAAAGTTCCAGTCAGTGGCAGGGACGTCAAAGGCTAATCTGTGATTTGTGTTCTTAAGGACTTTAATCCATCGGTACTGACAAAAGGGTGATGGACTAAGGGCTTCTCAGGGAGACCCTGGTCCCCATCTGAGCTTTACCACCTACTAGCTATGTGGCCCGGTCCCGTCTGTGTCCCAAATAGGGGTAGAAGCATCTCTTTCATCAGCTGTCACCAAGATTAACCAAGACCAAGGACATCAAGCCATGAGCCTAGTGCAGGAGTCCAGGTGAGCTCTCTCCATTGGCTGTGGAGGATCCTGTCCCCATTTCACACACGACTCTACCCATCTGTCGTTGCCTGAGGCCACCCATAGGTTGCTGCCCAAGGCCAGCTCTGTGAGGCCTGGCGGTGCCCAGCTGGGATGCATTCAGTGACTCTAACCCACAAGTCCTCAAGGAATGCCCATGATTCCAAAGTGCGTTCTTTCGTGACATGACGACTGCCTCACAGTGGCTCACAGCCAGGACGTGTTGTGACTCTTAGCCACGAGTCCTCACGGAATGCCCATGATTCCAAAGTGTGTTCTTTCGTGATATGACGACTGCCTCACAGTGGCTCACAGCCAGGATGTGTTGTGACTCTTAGCCACGAGTCCTCACGGAATGCCCATGATTCCAAAGTGTGTTCTTTCGTGATATGACGACTGCCTCATGGTGGCTCCAGAGGCTTTTAAACCAAAAGGAAGCTGTTCCCTTCTCATGTTATGTGATTGGCAACTTGCCAGAGATACTGCATTCATGTGATCACAAGTTTCTCAAAGATCTGACAGCTGCTGTCCTTGCAGGCACCTGAGGATGTGCAATGTGGTTATTTCCCAAAATTTCACAAGCGTAATAATTATCCTGATAGAATCCCAGTCTTTAGAACTAACCTCTACCCTTTAAGGCAGAAATTAGAAAAAGTACACGATTCCTGTGTGTTTGTGATGACCACCTGTGTTCCAGCTGCATACGTCGCACTGCTCAAGGCCCAGCACAGCCTGGGAGGTGGGTGTAATGCAAGCTGCAGGATAGGAAAAGCAAACTCGGGAGGTGGGTGGGGGAGCCTCCGCAGCACTGCAGACCCAGCAGAGCCAGGACTGCAGGTGAGGCCTGATCATTGACTACACCAATCACCATCAACAGCTAGAGTGCATGCTCCCCTACTCTGCCTGGGGTTTCTACCTGATCTGTGTCAGATGTAACTGCAGCCACACTGAGTGCTAAGCTTCCTGAGGATGGAGCCGCCTGTTTCTGGGAACACTGTCTTTGCATATGGCAGGTACTCAGTCTGCTAAACTGAAAAGAGGACAGAGAGTCCACGGGGGGACAGACTGTCTGGTGGGCTGAGATGGAAAGCTTTTATAACCGTGGCTTCTGTGTCTCTGACCACCAGAGAGAGCACATGCGGTGGTAAAAGAGCACATGCGGCTGTCGCTCTATGCTGGTGGCTTTAAAAAAAATACCGACGAGCTACACTCCTCGAAGAGAGCGGTTAGGCCTTACCCTGCAGCATAGGGTGGCTGGATGAAGTAGGGGTGCTCCAATTGGAGGAAGGAAGCATCTGGAGTTGCTGGGGAATGCCCCTGAAGGTGGCTCAGGGCCAGGGACATCCTGTCTGCTCAGGCAGTGTCCTCAGCATGAGGTTCAGGCAGCTCTGAAATATTTGTTGAATGAATGAATAAACTGAGCAAAAAGGGGAGAGGGCTTAGACTGCTCTTCTCCATCCTGGTGGCAGAGCCAGAAACTCTGGTGGATGAGACCCTCGGGGTGCAGTCCAAAGGGAGCAGAGAACAAGGGCAGGGTAGAGGGAGCCTATGCATGGTGGCCGCTTTTCTTTCTTACTCTGCAGCCCTGTACACTGCCTCGATTTTGAATTTTTAGCACCAGATCATTACATGAAGCATGCCCATCCCCTCCTGTGACCACAGAAGGGAATTTGAACATTGCCCAGCTTGTCCCAGCTCTGTGACCAGGGCCACTCCTGATTTGCGCTCTTCTTGGACAGATGAGGCCACCTCCTTCACCATCTCCTCACATGCTCATCACTGAGCCTTTCTGTAGGTGCCGTGGAGGAACCCAGAAGGCTCTGAGAGGCATGAGCAGGAGGCACCATTCTCTATTTGGGTGATTAGAGTAAGAAAGAAGAAAGAGGCATTTCCAGGAGGGTGGGAGACAGGGACTAAGGGCTAGATCTGAGGGCCTGAGAGCAGCATGTGGGCTGCAGAGGAGGCAGTAGCCCTGTCTCAAGGGCCTTACTAGACAGAGGCGTGTGGACCCGCTGCTTCCACCTGAAACTTTTCAGGTGACACTGAAGAGTTTCCCGTGGGGCCAGTGACACTGGACTGGCTGGGCAGAGCTGTGTAGAGACCAGAGGAATGGCCACCATTCATTTCTTAACTGGGCAGTCATAATGTCCTCATTTTAATGACCTTTTCACAGTGACCTGCTGTGCGGGCCCCGACCATGGACCCCTGAAGAAATGGACTCTAACTTTTAAACTTATGACTACCTGTTTTCTTCCAATCCGATTCACTTTCCTTTCCCAATCAGGGTGCTCCTACTCATAGCCTTCTCTGAAAGTCTACGGGGCTTGCGGCTCCTGTTTCATTCATCTTTTTGCCCATTTATGCAAAACTATGCATAAGCCGTGACTCTGTGTAGACAAAACTCAGACGCAACAGTCTAGCCAGAAGACAGAACGGTGCCTGCCTGCGACGTGAAGACAGAGCAGGGTGCTGGAGACAGAGCAGGGTGCTGGAGACAGAGCAGGGTGCTGGAGACAGACAGACCAGGGTGCTGGAGACAGAGCAGGGTGCTGGAGACAGACAGACCAGGGTGCTGGAGATAGACAGAGCAGGGTGCTGGAGACAGACAGACCAGGGTGCTGGAGACAGAGCAGGGTGCTGGAGACAGACCAGGGTGCTGGAGACAGAGCAGGGTGCTGGAGACACACCAGGGTGCTGGAGACAGAGCAGGGTGCTGAAGACAGAGCAGGGTGCTGGAGACAGACCAGGGTGCTGGAGACAGAGCAGGGTGCTGGAGACAGACCAGGGTGCTGGAGACAGACAGAGCAGGGTGCTGGAGACAGACAGACCAGGGTGCTGGAGACAGAGCAGGGTGCTGGAGACAGACCAGGGTGCTGGAGACAGAGCAGGGTGCTGGAGACACACCAGGGTGCTGGAGACAGAGCAGGGTGCTGAAGACAGAGCAGGGTGCTGGAGACAGACCAGGGTGCTGGAGACAGAGCAGGGTGCTGGAGACAGACCAGGGTGCTGGAGACAGACCAGGGTGCTGGAGCCCAGGAGGAGAAAAGTTCACTTCAAGTGGGTAGGATCAGCTCTCTTTATAAGTAATCAGTGGGAACTAACAACCTCTCTGTGAGTGGGGAAGAAGTTAGTGTCCAAACTGCATTCAAATTGACCAACAGCACAACCTCAGAAATGCCTTCAGATGTTAAGGTAGTCTGGTGGGTCTTAAGAAAGAGAGGAGACAGGAACCTAGAGAAGGATCTTAGAAATGAGACTGGGAATGGTTTTCAACTGAACTGTGAGAAACGGAACGGAACACAGGCATGCTCCGTCATCTGAAAGAGAGTAACGCTGAGCATCTGACCGTAACCTAGTTCTCCCCGGAACGTGTTCTTCAAGACTATGCTGAATGTTCTCCAAGAACGAATTTCACCATAAAGTAAGTCTGTGATCCGCTGGAGTTAACACATTCTTACTCTAGCACCTGTCACCTGTCGGCCTGGCTCTGCTATAGCGAGGTGTGAATTTCTGAGGAGGAAGCTGGTGGGGACTCAGCAGAGCCCAGTGGCCATCAGCTCACCAGAAGGTGTGAAAAGGGAGAACCCTGTTGCTAGTTGATTTTGCTGTGCAGAAGCTCTTCAGTTTAATTGGATCTAATATGTCAACTTTTGCTTGTGATACATCTTCGTCATGAAGTCTTTGCCTGTTCCTATGTCCAGAATGGTACTGTCTAGGTTGTCTTCCAGGGTTTTTATAGTTGCAGGTTTCACATTTAAGTCTTCAATCCATCTTGGAACAGAAAACCAAATACCGCATGTTCTCACTGATAAGTGGGTGCTAAATGATGAGAACACATGGGCCCATAGAGGGGAGCAACTCACACATGCAGGGGGCTCCTTGAGGAAGGAGGGAGAGGAGCAGGGAAATAAGTGTTGGCTACTAAGCTTCGTACCAGGGCGATGACACAATCTGTACAACAGAACCCTGTGACCTGAGTTTACCTATGTAACAGACCTGCACCTGTACCCCGAACCTAAAGTAAAAGTAAAAAAGAGAAAAAAGAACCCAAACAGCCAAGCGACAGGCTTCCTTCAGGCACAGAGAGGGAGGAGTGAGGGTCTCAGGGCTCACCAGCCCCTGGAGGGACCCTGGGAGAGGAGCCACAGCAAGCGCCACAGCCGGGGCCCTGGGCTTCCTAGCACAGACAGGGCCGTCACCACTGACACCACTGGTCTGCAATACGTCCAATGCCGTGTGCTCTAGTCCACACTCCAAAAAAGCCACTCTAGTCACAGGGATACAAGATTCCACTTCCTGAGACAGGAAGTTCTCCTTTGAGCAGGATTCTTCCTTCTTCCAGTCCTACACTCATTAAAAGACAACAAACCCACTAAGGCCAAAGGCAATCCCGCCCCCAACATAAACAGGACTCCAAGGGTCCAGGCAGCCGTCTTCCCAGCGCAGCTTTCCTTCTCAGCCAGTGTGGCATAGCTCCGCCCTCTGTGCAGCCCGGGCACAGTTGGTCAGGAATTTTGCAGGCCATCCCTCACTTAGAATTTGTCTGTTTTTCTAATGTTATGGATGTAATGTGGTCTTTGGGAAAAGTGCCATTATCATCCCACACTGCCAAGGACAGACACCAGCTTGACGTTTGGGCGCTGATGGGGGCTCTGGCCACTGGGCTGGAGTGGTGCTGGCCAGGCAGCCGTGCTGCACACTCCTCCATGCTCCACCCTTCTGCACCCCATTCCCTTCACATGAAGACAGCACCTTGGGCTGGATGTCAGAGCACCCGGTCACACGGCCCTGGGGAACCTCCAAATCACCTGCTGGGATTCTGCCTCCCACCTACTACCGCACAGCACCCTCCAGGGGGATGTCCCCAAATGAATGTATCCTCTGCCTTCCACTGGCGGATGCTCCAGTCCCCACTGTGTGATAGCTCTGCTGCAGTGGACAGCGTGGGCAGCTAAACTTGGGGAGGCTGAAGGGGCATCTTCATGGTTGGTCCCCAGGGTGAGCACAGGTGCGTTTATTAGGGCTGCCCAATGCCCGTACATAAAGTCCTACCAAGTGACAGTCTCCCCAGCAATTACGTGAGCCAGCCTCTGTTTCCCCACAGCCTCAACAGCAGGTGCTGACAGATTTTTACATTTTTGTCACTCTGACAAGGGAGACAAGGTATTCCAATGCTCTTTCAATTTGTATTGGAAACTGACCATCACTTGCAGGCAAACACGTGATCTATTCGTCTGTATAGCCAGCGGACCCCTTACAACCCAACAACAACACACCTACATCTCTTGACCTTTTCCTCAAAAACACACATGTGAAGAAGCTTTTCAGATCTTTTCTTGCCATAGCTGGACTCCTGGCCAGTGTTAAATCTTAGACTCTGCAACTCTAGCAGCCTGGGGGGTACACAGCTGCGCTGTGGCACGGTGGGCCTACCTTCAGGTGCGTGGCGCGCTTGAAGGCCTTCCTGCACACGGGGCAGCCATGGATGCGCTCCCGGCCGTGCACCTCTTTGCTGTGGTGCATCAGCACCGCCGCCGATGAGAAGGCGCGGTCACATTCCAGGCACTGGTGTGCCCGGCCCTCCTTCTCGGGCTGGCTGCCCGGGGCCAGGTTCCCAGAGACGCCAGCAACCTGGAAAGAGCCAGAAATTCTGTGACTTTCCACGCACTCGACTGGACTTGTGCAGTCCGTGAACTGATACACGCCGTGGTAATAACAGGGACATTTCTAGCACGGACACATTGAGCCCACATTGCATGTCCTAGTATCAGGGTAATTTGGCCAGAGGCACCTTCCACACAATGAGACCAGAATGCACACTGTCCTGCAAGACTGAAACCACACAACAGCAGGTAATGAATGAGCTCTGGTGCCGCACTGACCAGGTGCAAATCCCAGCTCCATCAGGACGGTCCGGGCTACTCCAGGCTAAGTACTGAACCAGTCCATGCTTGGTCCTCCTGGGAGAAACACCTACCTGCCAAGGGCTGCACAGCGCAGGCATTCACTAAATGCTTGCTGCTGGTAGTAGCTTTAGATAAGCAATTCTTAATAACAAAAGGTGTTTTTAACCTTTAATAGAATTAAATCATTTTTTTCCAAACTGTGGATCATAACCAATTAGGTTTTCAAATCATTTTAATGGGATGCCACCACCCACTGAAAAAATAATGAAAACAGTAGGAGGAATTTATTACGCAGCTTTTTTTCTTTTCGATTTTTTTTTTTTCAGATGGCGTCTTGTTCTTTTTCCCAGGCTGAAGTACAATGGCGCAATCACAGTTCACAACAGCCTGAACTCGTAGGCTCAAGCAATCCTCCCACCTCAGCCCTCCCAAATACCTGGGACCACAGGTACTCACCACCTCACCATCATGCCCAGCTAATTTTCTAATTTTTTTGTACAGACACGGTCTCCCTATGTTGCTCAGGTTGGTCTTAAAACTCCTGGACTCAAGGGATCCTCCTGCCTCAGTCTCCCAAGTGCTGGGATTATAGGTATGAACCACTGCACCTGGCTGACTTAGCTTTTGTAAACAACAGATTTCAATTTTGCATATGCAAATTTCTATGAGATGGCCTAACAAAACAATCATAATGAAAATTAACAAGATTGGTTAACATTTTTATTATTCCCAGTTTATCAATACTTTTTCATTAATTTGAGAATGTAATATAAGAAATAAGCACAACTTCAAGAAAAAGACTTAACAACAAAATAGTTCTACAGGGTGCTGTATTATTAATTGGTGCTGTAATAAAAAAAAAGAATAAAATTGGAAAAAAGGAAACAAAAGAGAAGGATCAGAAAAGACATGGCTGCCATGTGAGATGCCTGGGACAGGAGTTATTCCACAGTACGACACCTGTGTCAGGTGTGTGTCTACACATGATATCTGAAGGTATCTATAGGTGTTATCCTATAATACGACACCTGTGTCAGGTGTGTGTGTCTACACATGAGTAGCTGTAGGTGTTATTCTATAATATGACAGCTGTGTCAGGTGTGTGTCTACACATGAGTATCTGTAGGTATCTGTAGGTGTTATCCTATAATACGACACCTGTGTCAGGGGTGTGTGTCTACACATGAGTAGCTGTGTTATTCTATAATATGACACCTGTGTCAGGTGTGTGTCTACACGTGAGTGTCTGTAGGTGTTATGCTATAATATGACACCTGTGTCAGGTGTGTGCATCTACACGTGAGTGTCTGTAGGTGTTATTCTATATGACACCTGTGTCAGGTGTGTGTCTACACAGGAGTATCTGTAGGTGTTATTCTATAATATGACACCTGTGTCACGTGTGTCTACACGTGTCTGTAGGTGTTATTCTATAATATGACCTGTGTCAGGTGTGTGCATCTACACGTGAGTGTCTGTGGGTGTTATTCTATAATATGACACCTGTGTCAGGTGTGTGTGTTTACACGTGTCTGTAGGTGTTATTCTATAATATGACACCTGTGTCAGGTGTGTGTCTACACGTGAATATCTGTAGGTGTTATTCTATAATATAACACCTGTGTCAGGTGTGTGTCTACACGTGAATATCTGTAGGTGTTATTCTATAATATAACACCTGTGTCAGGTGTGTGTCTACATGTGTGAGTGTTATTCTATAATATGACACCTGTGTCAGGTGTGTGTGTTTACACGTGTCTGTAGGTGTTATTCTATAATATGACACCTGTGTCAGGTGTGTGTCTACACGTGTGGGTGTTATTCTATAATATGACACCTGTGTCAGGTGTGTGTGTTTACACGTGTCTGTAGGTGTTATTCTATAATATGACACCTGTGTCAGGTGTGTGCCTACATGTGAGTATCTGTAGGTGTTATTCTATAATATGACACCTGTGTCAGGTGTGTGCCTACACGTGAATATCTGTAGGTGTTATTCTATAATATGACACCTGTGTCAGGTGTACATCTAACATCTGTGAGTGTAAAGAAGAATGACAGAAACACGTGTGTTTCAGGTCACTGCATATAAATATATTCTGTGTGTGTCAAAAAAGTCTGATAAGCACAGGAATAAATGATACTGAAGGCTGGTTCTGTAACCGCAGATAAATGCATGCTGAAGAACATCAACTCAAGCAAAAACCTGTAGTTATGGAGCTGCCTCATGTCCTCAATCAGTATTGCCAAGTATCCCCCAGTAGTCATGGTGATGAACACACACAGAAAATTGTTTCTGGCCCAAAAATTTTACTCATGAGATGTGAGAATTCAATAACTGGTCCACATCATTCAAGAAAAGACAAACATACAAAACTTTAAAAACAATTTCTGTAAAATATTTTTCAGCATCACCACAGCAAAGCTTCTGAATCATTGCTACTACTGTGAAATAGCCCATGTTCTGCTGAATTTCATAATTACATATATATGAACATATGGAAAGAGACTGAATATTAATAGAATATTGCTAAAATCATACCTGTCAAAAAGAGAAGGGGAAATCAGTTAGAGAATGAGTGTGAGATGACTTTTCAGCCTGAAACATAAACTTGGCCTCAGTTAGAAATCATCTCATCTGCTTCCCATAGCAGTTATTCCACATGGGGGCAGGAGGATAGAAGCGTGTATGACCACCTTCCAAGCATGAGGAGTGTGGCTTTTGGCAAGCAGAAGAGGGAGGAAAGCAGCCTTACATCCACCTCCTAATGAGCCCAGAGAGACCTGGTGCTGATCCAATACCCTTTGTGTCCGGCGGCCAGCACTGGCAGGAACTTTAATGTTTGCTGAATTGAAACAAGGCAGCTTTCAGAGAAAGACTATCCACAACACACACCTGGGCACATGATCAGCCTTCTGACCCCAAACCTCCCTCTAAAAGCCTGCCCCTTACTAAAAAGCCCAGCTGAGACCAGCTGAGCTCAAGTAACTGGAAATCCAGGTGTAAATGTTCAAAACGACATTCTCCTATTAAGACATGAAGAGTGGGGTAAGACAGACCTGGGTTCAAACGCCAGCTCTCTCTATTGGCAGGGGGACCTTAAGTTACTCAAAGCTACCCTTACATTCTAGATTCCTTATGAGTAAAATGGCCCTGACACTTAGACACCTCAAGGCTGTGAGGAGGGCTCGGCTACATAAGACCATATGCCCAGTGGGAGCCTGGCCTCAGAAAGCTGGCCAGCCAGTGTCCTCTCTTTTCTCCAGCAAAACCAGTTTCGAAAGAAGGCATGCCCCTTAAGCGGTGAGTGGAGGAAGAAAGGCAATTTGGTGCAGCAGCTGCCCGCTGATGTAAGGGCTTGCAGTTGCTAACCAAGTTAGGCCAGGTCTCTCAATCCCTACAGAAGGGTCAGGTAGAAATCAGCTCACTCCTTTCTGTAAAGACAGGCTGAGTAAGGGGGCAGACTGTCAAAGGCTCTTAGGATAAAGATGATTTTACGTTGTGAGCACACGTCTCGTCAGATCAGTATGGATTTCTCTTCAGATGAACCATGAAGAAAATGATTTTTAAAAAGAAAAGCAAAGACAGTTGCTCTAGGGACTTCACTAGAGAGTGAAGTGAGCCCCGGGCTGTAGCCGCTCCACCACCACTGGTAGTGTCCTCACCTGAGCACTTGCTTTGGGCCAGGACCTGTGCTCAGTGCCAGGGAACGTTATTTACCCAAACTCTGACCACCATGAGGCAGTCCTAACTACACCTCTGTTTGGGATTTTTTTTTTGAAGCATGAACTCGTTCTGTCACCCAGGCTAGAGTGCAGTGGTGAGCACAGCTCACTGTAGTCTCGAACTCCTGGGCTCAAGCAGTCCTCCTGCCTCAGCCTCCTAAAGTGCTGGGATTACAGGTGTGAACTACCATGCCTGGACATGTCTGTCTTCAAAACAGGCCATCACACAGACCTAGGATTGCCTGAGATCTCTTGGCCAGAAAGCATGGGAGCAGGGATGTACACAGATCACCAGAGGCTACAGCCAGCACTCCTAGCCACTCTACAGTGGGTTCAGATAAGCCCAGGGCGCTCAAAGGGGTCCCAGCTTCCTCCCAGACGCACAGGCCACAGGCCACAGGCAGACCCAGGCATGGGTCTGAAGTCTCTGGTCAGTGCCCAGGTCAGAGCCTGGAAGCGTCAATGTGCATTCCGTCTGTGTCAAGAGAGCATTAGGATGAAATTAGACAGTGATTAACACCTAACAAGGGAAATTTACAGAAAACATCTAACAGAATTTCTCTCAATAATTACAGACATGTCTTATTTTCACTGAACTTTGCTTCTTTTTGCCCTTCATAGATACCGTTTCATTTTTACAAACTGTGCTGCTTCGAGCAAGTCTCTCGGTGCTATTTTTTCAGTGGCACATGCTCACTTCCTGTCTCTGTGTCACATTTTGGTAACTTTTGTAATATTTCACATCTTTTCATTATAGCACTATCTGTTACGTAACCTGTGATCAGCAATCCTTGATGTTACTATTCTATTGTAATTGGGGCACCACAAACCCCGCCTACACAAAAATGGCAACCTGAATCTACAAACGTTGTTTGTGTCTGGCTACTTTATCACCTGGCCATCCCACCTCTCCTCGGGCCTCCCTGTTCTCTGAGACACAACAATACTGGAATTAGGCCAATTAATAACCCTCCGATGGCCTCTAAGTGTTCAAGTGAAGGAAGAGTCACACACCCTCACTTCAAAAGCTGGAAATGATCACGCTTAATGAGGAAGGCATGGAGAGAGCTGAGACAGGCTGAAAGCCCAGCCTCTTGTGTCAAACTATTAGCCAAGCTGTGAAATGAAGGAAATGTTCCTGAAGGAAATCAACAGTATTATCCAGTGAGCCCACAAATGATAAAAAAGTGAAACTGCCTTATTGCTGATAAGCAGAAAGTTTTAATGGCCTGGACAGATCAAAACAGCCACAACCTTCACTTAAGCCAAAGCCTAATCCAGAGCAAGACTTTCTCTTCCACGTTATGAAGTCTGAGAGCTGAGGAAGCTGCAGAAGAAAAGCTGGAAACCAGCAGAGGTTGGTCCAGGAGAACTAAGGACAGAAGCCGCCTCTATAACCTAACAGTGCAAGCTGAAGCAGCAAGTGCGGATAGATAAGCTACGGCAAGTTCCCCAGAACGTCTAGCCGGCATCTTCAATGAAGGTCACTCCACTGAAGAACAGATTTTCAGTGCAGACAGAACAGCCTTACAGTGGAAGAAGATGCCACCTAGGCCTTGCATAGCTACAGAGAAGTCAGTGTCCGGCTTGAAAGTACAGGATGACTTTCCTGTGAGGGGCTAATGCAGCTGGTGACTTTAAGCTGAAGCCAGTGCTCATTTATCATTCCAAAAATCCAAGAGCCCTTAAGAATGATGCTAAATCCATTCTTTCTGTGCTCTACAAATGAAACAATAAAGCCTGAATGACAGCATATCTGTTTACACCATGATTACTGAATATTTTAAGCCCACTGCTGAGACCTACTGGTCAGAAAAAATGATTCCTTTCAAAATATTCCTGCTCATTGACAATGCACCTGCTCACCCAAGAGCTGTGATGGAGGTATACAGAGATGAATGTTGCTTTCATGCCTCACTTCCAAAGTTTTCCTTTCACGAAAGGGAAATCTATTATGAAAGGAGGAATTGATGCAGCGAATTTCATTGTTGTCTCATTTTAAGAAATTGCTATAGTCACCCCAACCTTCAGCAACCACCACCTTCATCAGTCAGCAGCCATCATCAAAATCAAGGCGAGAGCCTCCACCAGCAAAATGATTACACTCCCTGAAGGCCCAGGTGATGGTCAGCATTTTTAACAATAAGGTATTTTTTTAATTCATTTTTTTATTGCATTTTAGGTTTTGGGGTACATGTAAAGAACATGTAAGATTGTTGCATATGTACACACAAGGCAGTGTGGTTTGCTGCCTTCTTCCCCATCACCTATATCTGGCATTTTTCCCCATGTTATCCCTCCCCAACTCCCCACCCCCTGCTGTCCTTCCCCTATTTCCCCCCAACAGACCCCAGTGTGTGATGCTCCCCTCCCCATGTCCATGTGTTCTCATTGTTCAGCACCCACCTATGAGTGAGAACATGCAGTGTTTGATTTTCTGTTCTTGTGTCAGTTTGCTGAGAATGATGATTGCCAGCTTCATCCATGTCCCCACAAAGGACAGGGACTCATCATTTTTTTATGTCTGCATAGTATTCCATGGTGTATATGTGCCACATTTTCCCTGTCCAGTCTATCATTGGGCATTTGGGTTGGTTCCAGGTCTTTGCTATTGTAAACAGTGCTGCAGTGAACATTTGTGTGCATGTGTCCATATAGTAGAACAATTTATAATCCTTTGAATATATACCCAGTAATGGGATTGCTGAGTCAAATGGAATTTCTATTTCTAGGTCCTTGAGGAATCACCACACTGTATTCCACAATGGCTGAACTAATTTACACTCCCACCAACAGTGTAAATTATTTCTATTTCTCCACATCCTCTCCAGCATCTGTTGTCTCCAGATTTTTTAATGATCACCATTCTAACTGGTGTGAGATAGTATCTCAATGTAGTTTTAATTTGCATTTCTCTAATGACCAGTGATGATGAGCATTTTTTCATATGTTTGTTGGCTTCATATATGTCTTCTTTTGTAAAGTGTCTGTTCATATCCTTCATCCACTTTTGAATGGGCTTGTTTGTCTTTTTCTTGTAAATCTGTTTTAGTTCTCTGTAGATTCTGGATATTAGCCCTTTGTCAGATGGGTAGATTGCAAAAAAATTTTCCCATTCTGTTGATTGCTGATTCACTCTAATGACTGTTTCTTTTGCTGTGCAGAAGCTGTGGAGTTTGATCAGGTCTCATTTGTCTATTTTGGCTTTTGTTGCCAATGCTTTTGGTGTTTTAGTCATGAAGTCCTTGCCTATGCCTATGTCCTGAATGGTTTTGCCTAGATTTTCTTCTAGGGTTTTTATGGTGTTAGATCTTATGCTTAAGTCTTGAATCCATCTGGAGTTGAGCAATAAGGTATTTTTAAATCAAAGTATGTACATTAAAAAAAAATAAAAATGCTGGCTGGGCACGGCAGCTCACGCCTGTAATCCCAGCACTTTGGGAAGCTAAGGTGGGCGGATCACTTGAGATCGGGAGTTCCAGACAGTCTGGCCAACATGGCAAAACCCTGTCTCTACTAAGAATACAAAAATTAGCCAGGTGTGGTGGTATACACCTGTAATCCCAGCTACCTGGAAGGTTGAAACAGGAGTTGGGGTGAGCTGAGATTGCACCACTGCACTCTACCCTGGGCGACAGAGTGAGACTCTGTCTCAAAAAAAAAAAAAAGAATGCTGCCGAACACTGTTATTATAGTGTAGTATAAACATAATGTTTATACGCCCTGAAACCAGCAAATTAGTATGACTTGCTTTGTTGTGACAGTTGCTGCATTGCAAGCTCTAGTTACTCAGGTCAAATTGCAGGCCATCCCCAGTGCTGGTTAAATCTCATTTCTTTGTGAAAAAGCCCTTGTCCTACTGAAAAACCAGTAAGTTATTATTTTGAAAACTCATTTGCCAAAAATGTTTAATGCTTCTTAAATTCAGAGATTATTCATCATCTGTGCTTTAATTTTCACCCTGGAAACTTTTAAGGGAAGAGTTTTTAGACTCTTCTATATTCAAACTATTGCTCACTGAATATTTTGCCCCCCAAACACGTAACAATTGCTTTATTGCAATGATCACAACAAGGCAAGTGGTCTGGAACTGACCCCAGGAGATCGCTGAGGTAGGCCTGTATTGACTCACACAGATGAGTTATCTACTTCATTTTCATATTTAATTAAGCTGTCAAATACGGGAAAAAAATACAAGCTAGACCAAGTTTTAATATTTGATTTATCTCATTACCATCTACTACTCAAATGGAAATTAAAATGGAATATATCACTTGAATGGGGACATTTCAAACTAATCTTAACATAGGATTACTCTACAAACATTATTATTCTAGCTAAGTGAAATCAAATGCTAAAATCATAATGTTAAAAAATAGCAAAGCAGTTTCATTTACTAGTCACATAAAATATAGGAATTAGGTAAGGTGTGCCTTGGAACTGAATTAGAAACTGTCTGAAACATACCAGACTAATAAGGTTTCACTACAAAAGCATCATGAGAAAGGGAGCTTAAAAAGATGACCAAGATGCCAGTACTTTTTCTGTCTAATGAATGTGTGCAGTCAACAGTTAGCTCGGCAGGCCTGAGGGGCTCAAACCCTGCACACTCCACAGTGCTCCTCAGTGCTCCTGAGACATCCCCAATAAGCATCTGCTATTTACAGACAAGAGAGTATTTTCAACCCCAGGACCCTGGGCAATGCCACACAGTTTATGCTGATGATGTGACTTATGGTGAAAGCCTATTTTTGTTTGTTTGGGGACCTGGGCCACTGCATCAGTTTGACCTGGAGGGGCAGGGACCTGGAGACTGCACAGCTAAGCCCAGCCACATGGGCACTCCATGCCCACATGACTGGCCCAATACAATTCTGGATACCAGAGCTTAGCTGAGCTTCCCAAGTTGGTGACACTTGGCAGGTGCTCTCACACAACATTCCTGAGAGAATCAGCAGTGTCCACGTGACCCCACTGGGAGAAGACACCAAGAAGCTTGTACCTGGGTTCTCTGGACTCCCCAGCAATGTGCCTTTTCCTTCTGCTGGTTCTAATCTGCACCCTTCCACTGTAACCACAAGTATAAAGCACTACCAAGGGTATATCAGATTTCTCTGAATCCAGTGAGACCTTGGAGTGTATCATCAAATCTGAGGGCGGTCTTGGGGACCCCAGACACAAATGTGTTAAAGTTACACAAACTGAAATTCAGTGAGACGTGCTCTGGTTCCTCAGGTCAAACTGCAGGACAGCCCCAGTGCTGGTTATATCTCACCCTGTCGTGAAAAAGCCCTTGTCCTACTGAAAAACCGGTAAGTCACTATTTTAAAAACTCATTTACCAAAAATGTTTAATGCTTCCTATATTCAGAGATTATTCATCATCTGTGCTTTAATTCTGACCCTGAAACTTTTAAGAAAAGTTTTTAGATTCTTCTATATTTAGACTATTGCTTATTAAATATTTTGGCCCCCAAAAACATGCATTTGAAAAGACTAGACAAACGACAAATAGGTCTTGCACACGTGCGTGCACATACACATATATGAAAATGTAGGTGACACTTAACAGAATCAGCAACTAGAAAATCTGCAGAAAGAGCTGAGTGTAAGTGGCTGGCTATGTGAGGTCTGAGTGGTAGGCAAATACGTTAAGATATTAATAAATTTAAAATTAGATCACTGGTGGCTACATCTATTTTGTGGTACTAAAACCTCACTCCCTAAGAAACGAATAACAAAATGAATGAGATATCATACTCATCATTTAACACATGTCCCGCAGAGCCTAAGTCCACTCAGGATTCAGCTGGGGGCACCTCAGAAGTCAGCCCCAGCCCCAGCCACCTGGGCCATACAACACCCCCATGACCCTCTACTACCATCCCTTCTGAATCTGTTTGTTTTAAAAAGCGACAAGAGCTCTGTGGATGAAGGAATATCCTGTACCTGGTAGGCTATTTCTTCACAAGCGGCAGACGCAGACTGTGGTGTGTGGCTCACTAGTATGACTTGTGGTGAGCCTGCTCCACCCTGGCCGGAGACAGAGGGATCCGTGAGGAGTGCTGGGAACTGCTGACCCTGGAAAAAGATGAGTACTATTTCAGAAGTCGAAATATCAGCAAAACAGGTAATAATTTCAAAGGTCTTTTATGGTGCAGCTAACTTGGAAAAGAAGCTGGTAGCTCCTAAAAAGATGAACCACAGTCACCACGTAACCCAGCCACCCAGGAGAAGTGAAAACAGAGTCTGCTCAAAGCCTTGTGCAGAAACGTCCACAGAGAATTACCCACAGCCAAGAAACAGAAAAATCCCAAATGCCAATCAACTGATAAATGCACAGACACCATGTGGCATAAGGGAATATTCTTCAGTAATAAGAAGGTACAGAGTTCTAGTACATGCTACAGCAATTGAGGAACCTTGGAAATACCCCATGGAATGAAAAAAGACAGTCACACAAGACCACACGGATGATCACATTTCTATGAAAGAGCCAGAATGGACACATCTACGGAGACAGAAATTGGTGGTTGCCAGGGGCAGAGGTAAGGGTAGGCTGGGGGTGAGGGGAACATGGAGTGATGGCTCATGGCTCCACGTTTCTTTAACAGATGATGAAATGTTCTAAAATTAGATCATGGTGATGGTTGTACCAACTCTGTAAATACACTGAAAACCATTCAGTTGTATACTTTAAATAAATGGGTAAACCTATATAAATTACATCTCAGAGTCTCTACATGTGTGTATGTGTACAAGACACTTATTTGCTTAGAAACACATATACAATTTTGCTATGCTATAGAAAACTACTGTAAGTCTTTTTACCAGCCCAGAACATCTCGAGCTATGAGAGTGGATGGAGCAGCAGCTTAAAGGAGCTGAATACCTACTGCAAATGCTGAATTTATGGAAGTAATTCAGCATGCAGCTTGATCTGCTGCAATCAGCACTGATACTAAACATATTTTACACATAGTTAAAACCGTGGCTGATGACAGGAAGCACAGCTGATGTTGTTGGCTCCTGTGCTTTAAGGTGAGGGCTGTTTCTCTATGTCTTGGGGAACTACACAAGCTGAGCCCCTAACAGGCAAGTTAAGAATTGAGGAGGGGATGCTGTATTAGTCTGTCTTCACATTGCTGATAAAGACATGCCAGTGACTTGGCAATTTACAAAAGAAAGAGGTTTAATTGGAATTGCAGTTCCCCATGGCTGGGAAAATCTCACAATCATGGAGGAAGGCAAGGAGGAGCAAGTCATGTCTTACATGGATGGCAGCAAAGAGAGGTGCGCTTGTGCAGGGAAACTCCCCTTTTTATAACCATCAGACCTCGAGAGACTTATTCACTATCATGAGACAGCACAGAAAAGACCCACCCCCATGTTTCAATTACCTCCCACCAGGTAAGACAGGAGTCTTGCTCTGTCACCCAGGCTGGAGTGCAATGGTGCAATCTTGGCTCACCTCAACCTCCACCTCCTGGGTTCAAGCGATTCTCCTGCCTCAGCCTCCTGAGTAGCTGGGATTACAGGTGCATGCCACCACGCCCAGCTAATTTATTGTGTTTTTAATAGAGATGAGGTTTCCCTATGTTGGTCAGGCTGGTCTTGAACTCCTGACCTCAACTGATCTACTGCCTCAGCCTCCCAAAGTGCTGGGATTTCAGGTGTGAGCCACTGCACTCGGCCAACCTTAAGTATTCTTAATGCAAATTCCCTGCTTTAAAAAATCAGTGTCCAATAAAATGTTCATTATTATTAATCATAATGTATCATCATGATTTTCCTAATTAAACTCTGCAAAGTTTTTTGGCATCTTGGCTCAAGGAATCATGTACAAATGCACACCCTTTTGACACAAAACTTCTGCTGGTAGGAATTCATCTAAGAATCTCAGTGACTAAGGGCATGAAAATACTACTTATTGAAAACATGAATACAACATAACGTTCCTCATGAAGTTCATCTACATGGTGTGTAGATGATGAACTTATTTCTGCAGAAATTTATAAATATGTACCTTATACACTCATATAAAAGTTTGGAAGAATATATACACTAAAATGTTAACTGTGGTTCCATTTGGGTAGTGGGATTAAAGCTTTGGGTTTTATGTTTTACCTTATTTTTTATATTCTTCTATATTATCTGAATTTTCTTTTATTCCCTTTTTACATTTAACATATTACTTTTTTAATCAGAAAAAAAAAGCCACTTCAAGTTCCAAAAAAAATGCTCAGAATCTCTATTTAGGAAAGAGTAAATAAATGACTAATGTTTCCGAAGATCCCCTTTTGAAAGGACCTCTGCATCCCTCGCTGTGGAGCACTTGCCTGAGAGGTAATGTTGAGTGTGACAGTGTCCAGGCCTCCAGACAGCATGCCCTGAGTATCGGCCAGTGTCAGCGTAACGCTAGCATCACCTCCCATGCCCGACGAGGACATGACCAGGTTCTGAGTTGAGATGGTCGATGGAGACATCGGTGTTGTTGAAGGAAGGCTTCCGCTTGTAGTGTTAAGTTCTACGAAAGAGGCAAAGTAAGCAGATCAATGGGAAAGCCAGACAAATCCACATGTAAGGGGACAGGGAGGCCGACACTCCCACAGGGGCTGACCTGCAGAAAGCAGCATTCAGGCTGCCCAAGGTCTCCAAGGTTCACCAAAGAAATCACAGGATCTTCAATTCTAATTTTATGATAAGGCTTTTCTTAGTTTCTAAACATCTTTATAAATGAATATACTGTACTGCTTAAGTATAACATACACAGAGAAAAACCAGTAGAAGAAGAGAGAAAATGTGACCCCAGAGTCCCAGTCACAGCTACTGCTATAGAATGAAAACTCAGGCAAGAATTTCCAGGGCATTGTCTCCATCCATCCACAACTACAGAGACCAGCTGAAGAAAGGAAGGAAGTATGATCACTGAGGGATGACTAGTTCCAAAGCTTAGGGGATACATTTGACCATCTCCGCTCATTTTCTCACTTTCGTCACCCTTACTGACTCTTATTCTGAAATACAGGCTGTCAAAATAAACCTCATGAAATCCTTTAAATATGCATTTATCCTGCATGACGTCTTAATTTTCTTTGGAAAAGACAAGAAAACTGAAACATGTCCCCCTTGCAGCCAATACTAAGAGAAAGGAAGGTATCTGGTGAAGGTCTTTTCTTTTACAGGACAGACACTCATGTACCTTGCTGGCAGATGAGACGGGCTCCATATGGGATTATCCAAGTCGTGTAGTGGGCACCAGTGAACACAACGTTCAAAGTATAAACACACAGTCACACACGCACGCTCACTTTATCTCACAATTGAGCCATCCATTCGTCTCAAACACGTATTCCTCATCCACCTGTGCCAGCCACCGTGCCGGGTGCTCAGGATACCAAGATCACGACCAAAGGATACATTCAAAAGCTATTTCCTAGTCAGGTGCCAAAACAAAGCAAGCAAGCTCCTGTCAGTACTTCGCTGTGACCTGGGTCACATCAGTCCGGAGCTCTCCTAGGAGTCGGGGCCAGCAGGAAAACTAGGTTACTTACTTGTAACTGGGGTTCTCCAAATACAATGCCTCCACTGATCCACACTCCTGGATTCCCACACTGTGCTGCACAGACCTGGAACCTTCAAAAGCAGTAGAACCATTAGCAGGCTGGGAGGCTCGAGCGCTGAAGCAGCTGCCGGGGCTCCACAGATAGCTAGGTCAGACCCTCCCACCTGCTCCAGCGTCCGCAGAGCGTGCTGGTGGGAGCCCGAGGAGTGTGGCCTTGTGGAGGATGTCTGCACGTGCTAAGCATTCCGGTGACTGGGACAGCAGCCGGTCTAGCAGTGGCTGTCCTCCTAACATTCCCTCCACATGCCCTTACCACACACCTAGCCTGTGGGTACGATTCTAATGTGAGTGGTCAAAACCGGGGAGAGACTGGGGCCGGGGGCAGATGGCAGCTGCCGATGAGCTTGCACAGAGGGAGTACAGGGAAGAGATGCACGCGCCTGTGAACCTCGCCCGGGATCACACTGAGAGCCAAGGCGAAGCCAATGCAAAGCAAAAGTTCAAACCTTGCTCCAACTGCTGAAATAAAGGAACCAAAGATCTTCTCCTTATGCCACCAGTGAACTAATTCAGACTTTCTAGTGATTATTAAGGTATCAGGAGATTCCAGGACTGTGCAGCATGAAAAATGTAAAGATACAGAAGAAGTCTTGTGCCTGATTAAAGTGAAACCTGACACAGAGTTCAATGAAAATGATAACTTCAGACAGTGGCAAAGTTCATATTTCAACTCAGGCAGTGAACCCTTCATCATGTCCCAACTCAACAGATTTTCCACCAAGTGATGATGCCAGCTCCAGTGGAACTGTCCTCGATGTGATTGAAAAGAACATGTGGCTAGAGCAGAAAAACAACGGAAATTTTCTTAAGCATGCAGTGAAATTACAAGCTACAAATAACTCTGAACTATCTATTTGTTAAAAGCCACAATTTTAAATTCAAATTAAATACTCTTAGCATGAAAATAAAGATCCCATGTTGAAGTGAAGACTGTAGACCTTTTATTCCTCACTTATTTTTCTGAAACCACTGTTCCTCCAGAATGCATACAGCAATATAAGTCTGACTTTAATTTGTGATTCTGACTCAAAAATAAAGTTAAAAAGATTAATAAACCTACAATCATCAAGCCCAACATTGTCTTAAATCTCGTGACAACGCTTCACAGCTTGTAAGAAAACATAATTTTGTAAGGTTCCAAAAATAGTTGAAAGGTATGGTATCAGTTTTTTCCTTGAGATTAACTGACATGTGGGAAGAGAGGAGCTGAGGGTGCAGAACAGGAGAGAAGCATCTGTGTAGTCACTCATTCCCAAGCACCCAGGTCACCCAAAGGAACAACTTGTGAGCACGGACAATGTCCTATTCAATTTTAATATACCCCAGCAAATGGTAAATGTTAAAATTGTTGAACTATTTAAAAATAAAACAAGTGATTATGCTCAAATCTAGAAGAAATTAAGGCTAAAATAACCTTATAAATAAGTAGAAAAACAAATACTGGTCTTTCATTGAAAGCAGAACTCAATTTAGTCATCAAAATTATCTTAAATTTAAAAGTGGATGAAGGTAAGAGCAAAAAGATAATACTCATTTGAGATGAATTCCTTAAAAAGTTGTGCTAAATTTCTCAAGCCTCTTACCAAGACTACGATCTGCTTCTGAGATGGGACTTACATTCTGTGGGATCATTTTTTAAGGAAACCTCTTTGTGTCAGATTTGGGAATGGATATTTCAGGATCCGACTTTGAAATAAGTCTTCAACTCCTGCATCACAAATCCGAACATAAAGCATGTGCTTTGATCCTGCATGTGAAATTCTAATTAACTGTCTCACTTTCGATTTATCCACAAATCTCAAAGAAGTAATAATACACTTCTTTTCTTTTTTTTTTTTTTGAGACGGAGTTTCACCAGGCTGGAGTGCAATGGCACGATCTCGGCTCACTGCAACCTCCGCCTCCGGGGTTCAGGCAATTCTTCTGCCTCAGCCTCCTGAGTAGCTGGGACTACAGGCACGCACCACCTTGCCCAGCTAATTTTTTGTAATTTTAGTAGAGACGGGGTTTCACCTTGTTGACCAGGATGGTCTCGATCTCTTGACCTCGTGATCCACCCGCCTCGGCCTCCCAAAGTGCTGGGATTACAGGCGTGAGCCACTGCGCCCGGCCTAGTAATACACTTCTTTAAATGCCTTCAATTAAGATGAAACAGCCAGAGTTAACTTAGAAGGTGATGAGTCTTAACCAACCTTGCTTGCATACAGAATCAAAAAACAGTCATAGCCATACATATTCATTATGCTCAATATAAGTTTTGTATAGACACTAGAGGTTTTTATTTGAGTGTTTACTTTAGAAGAGCTATGTTTAATTTCAAAATTATGTCATTTTAATTTCAATTATTAGTGGTGGGTGGCCTCAAGCTAGATCTGGAACTGACTTTGGCTCTAGATAAATATTGGTCACTAAGAGGCAATCTCCTCACTGCTACTCTAGAGTTGAGATCTGTTACATAATTCTAACTAGGACAAATGGGATGTGCAAGCCACTCTAGAAACATCTGCTTAATAGCAGGGACTGAGTGGGTCAATATATGGAGAACTGTTTCTGATACCCAGGATTAGTCAAAGATGCCAAAGATACTCAAGAACATAATACAACTTCCTTGATCACATAAAACTAACCCTGTATTTAAGAATACCCAGTATTACAGTAATACACAAATATTCTTTAATTACGAGTTCATCTTTTATTTTATAATACAACCCAATCCCTTGAAATACTTTTTTTTTCTTTTTTTTAACAACTGGGATATAAGCTAAAGTAGCCTGAGAGACAGACAGAGAGAGAGAAAGACAGACAGAGAGACTGATTTTCTCAGCTGGCTCTTTTTTTAGAGGTGGAGTTTTACTCTTGTCACCCAGGCTGGAGTGCAGTGGCCTGATCTCGGCTCACTGCAACCTCCACCTCCCGGGTTCAGGCAATTCTCCTGCCTCAGCCTCCCAAGTAGCTGGGATTACAGGCACCTGCCACCACACCCAGCTAATTTTTTGTATTTAAAGTAGACATGGGGTTTCACCATGTTGGCCAGGCTGGTCTCAAACTCCTGACCTCAGGTGATCTGCCCACCTCAGCCTCCCAAAGTTCTGGGATTACAAGCGTGAACCACCATGCCTGGCCTCAGCTGGCTCTTTAAAAAAGGTCTAAAAGAATACAAAAAAACCGTAAATCAGCCATTTGAGTATGATGCTGTTTGTACAGAAATGTTGGCCGTATAACATGTGGGAGCCTTGCACCCACTGACTGAGGACAGCTTGCCTACCCTGTGAGGACCCTTACCCGAGTGTGAGACGCTGGTGAGACACTATCAATATGGAGGTGAATTTATAAGTTCAGCACTTACTACTGAACTAGCCAGACCACAGCAGTTGAAAGGAATGAGCCCCAGCAGAGCCCTGGAGTGCATGCCTGCATGCGTCCTCATTCCATCCAACTTCTCCCTTCGCTCTGAACATCCCCAATTCTTAATTAAGCAGTCTGCTGCACCTGCAAACATCCAGGATCATCAAGAGGCACAAAAGACCACTCCACTCAAACTGAAACCTCTACAGCTCGACTTGTCTCTCCCTCAGTTTGCCAGGGGCTCACTGAGGATGTTAAGCAGAGCTTCCAGGAAGTCATGAGACTGCACAGCTGATGGCCAGTTTTCTGCGCAGTGAGGCAGGCTAGCAGGGCGAGAATCCCAGACACCTCACAAGAGTCCTGCGCCACAAGCGACCACAGCCCACTTCGGCCCACACACAAGTAACACGTCTTCATATCGCAACACGAACCATGCAGTGGGGGAAAGACGATGAACTCACAGCCTAAGATTAGAATTCTAGAGATGAGAAGAACACGCTGCCTGATCCTTTAAAAACCACAAACTAGGACTTTTAGAAAATATTTGGAGAAAAACATTCCCTGTATAACTTCAATACATCATATATTTTGGATCTTCCACCCATTAAAATAGCCACACCTCCTTGCTTCAGCTAAAGGCCAGCACGGGCCACACAGGGCCAAGCGGCTGGCATGGGGAGAAAAGCCACCTGACTCCTGAGCCCCTCTCAGCTCAGCCAGGACTTCTTCAAAGAAGCCACAGGGCCACTCTGCGACATGTGCCTTCAGTGCCATCATCACTCCTTTATACATGGTTACAGCTGTAATTTTACAATCACTTGTGGATTCTTCAAAACATGTCCACACCCCATTTGTTTCTAAGATCCAGAACATGGGACCAGCTTTGACCTGCCCAGTCATATTCCCAGATTTTGCATAATTCTTACCACACAGCAGACACTACAATCTCTTATGGAACATATGAACTACTGGACAAGAGGTCATTTCAATTAAGAAATAAACATGAAAAAAGGTCTAGCTTTAGGGTACAAACATATCTGAAGATTAGTTTTTTATTTCACAAACTGATACACGTAGTTGGAAATAAGGCTAAGAAGTGTATGCAATCTCTACAAGGTGAAGACAGCAAGACAGGCATGTTATCTAAATTGTTAATGGTTATTTATGAAACTGTCATTTATCTTATGTGAGCTCATTTATTAGGTTGCTGCAAAAGTAACTGCAGTTTTTGCCAATACTGATATGTTTATTTTTCATAAAATTCTATGCTTTAAAATCTTAGAAAGCTGCCTCCTTTCAATTTTTCTATTCTATTTTCAGCTGGTGCCAGAAAATTCTCACTGTAGGACAGAAGTAATGAGCTAAGTAAGAGACTTCCAGCGCTAGGTCAGAAAGGGGCAGCTTTGTATGAGGAGTTATTAAAATACTAACTTGCATAAATATAGGATGCTTTGTGTACAGCTGAATAGAATTATTTACTTTCATGACTTAAAAAGTAACATTACCGACTGGTTGGTAACATTAGAGAGAATTTTGTATCCTAGAATTAGGCATAAGCCACTAATCCTCACAGAATGATACTGCATGTGACAAAGCATGATGCTGACACATCTGTCATGCTAAGGACAGTTTAACTCCTCATTTGCTGTGTGCAGAGCTCTTTAGCTACGACCTCTTATAACGTCTTTCTTGGTGAACTCATGTGCTGTGTACCTGAAGAGTTCAATGTTGTACTCTGTGAGAGAAGCTGGTCATTGCTTATATTGTTAAGGTGGCACCTGTAGATTGATTATTGATTTTAGGTGCTGACTTTTATTAATGACTTTTATTAATGCTGACTTTTATGCTCCCTTTTATTAATAGTTCACTATTTCCACTAGAATTGTGTTGAATGAAATCTTGACCTAAATGGAAATTAATATTGTGATACCTGAAAACAACATTCTAAGACATGTATTGGCAAGTCAAAGCTTTTTCATTTCAGTAAAATTTATGGAAAAATGAAAATGAGACCACAAAACACATTTCTCTAAATGACAATATTTGTTCACACTCTTTAAGCTGTTAAGTATTTTAAAAATACTTCTTATGACTTCTACTTTAACTCAGTGTTTAGGCCCTAAAAATCACACACTTTGTTGAATAAAACTGTCAATGAATTTAAAATATTTCCAAATATAGTGCACTGCCAGGTATAGCAAAGGCATGTTACAAAGGATCTGAGGGACACCACCAAGTGACAACAGAAGCTCCCCTCGCTGCCTCCACTGAGCAGGCTTGCTGAGCCGACTATGCTGTGGTTTCCCATGTGTTGTGTTCCTATCCTGTGTGTTCTGAATGCTCTCAAGTACACACTAACATGCCTGCAACACATTCCTACTAAAACACATTTGCTTGGTTCAAAACCTGCTTATGGAAGCTTCATTAGCTAGCGCAACGATACAATGTAAGCAAATAGTACGATGAATACGAGAATAAAAAACCTCTTGGAATTCCAAGGGAAACCAAACTGAATTCCTTGGAAAGACTTGGTAAAGACAAGATACTTGAAACATTCTGCTGTTGAATTAGGTGTGGGCAAGACAACTACACAAAACCAGAGAGAAAACGATTCAAAGACAAAAGGATGCTGCACTATGACTGCTTGAGAGTGACCTACATTCTCGTGCTTTGCTAAGAAACAGAAACAGAAAATGAAACTGCATGATGAACATGAGGACAGGCAAAAATTTCAAAAAGCAGAAAATGTATTATCACCTGAGCAGACCCACGTTCAAAAGATCTGTGGATGAACGTCCGAGGTATGAAGTTGTCACTTGTTTCGCTCCCTAATTTGTATACCCTTTTATTAATACCTGGGCTGAAAATATCAGGTAAAGGGACTTTCCTTGTATCTGGACAGGGTTAATTCCAGAGGCAAAGGACTGTCCTTGCCTTTTACTCAATGTTTAACCTTTTCCCAAATGCTAGGATTCATGAACTGCTTAAAGTCTGCAAAACTTAGCTGAAGTAATATTTGTATTCTCTAGTACCTGCATGCATTTATAATTCTATGTGTTAATGGGAGAAAGAACATACTAAAAAAATCTTTGAAAATTTCTATAGAATATCTAGATGCTTTTAACAGGTTACCATAAATTAAATGCTTTTTATGGCCCTTTCAGAATGAGATAAGAAATTGTATAGCCAGTTCTCATTATACATCATAATGAGAAGTAAGAAAAAAAAAATCTTAAGCCCCAAAGTTGAAACGAAACTTATTTCATTAACTGATTTAAAGTTTTCTCCTAGAACAGCTGAAGCCAAATTCTTGAAAAATTAGTTATATTCATCTACGCTTTCAAATATACTAATAAGCAATAAAGTAACCGAATGGCCAATAATAAAACAGAGGAACAACAGAAGCACAACCCACAAACCAAAGAATACATTTTCTTAACTGAGCAAGAAGCACATACTATGTGGTTTTGATGGACCGAGCACAATGCTTCTTAGATTAAGTGTACTCGGTTTTGGTTTTCTGATGAACACCTTTTCTTTCAGGTCTGAAGTTTTTGCAGAAGCATCTCTGAAGCAGCAGAAATGCTGCCCCAGGTGGGCCTCGTGGTTGAGTCCATCTGGAACTCGGTCCTTCTCCTGAGGTGTGTTCCCGGGGTGTGAAGTGAGGCTGCTTCCCTCAGTCACACGACATCTCCACTGAGGGCGGTTTGATTCGTAGCAAAATGCTTTTGTTAACATCATCATCAGGTGGTTATGAGCTTAAATGAATTAATATTGAATGAGTTAACACCCATGGGAGTTACTAGAATAATATCTGGCACTTAGTAAGGGCTATACAAGTTATTGTTGAATTAAAAAATGATTCTTAGTTAATCTGAGGAGTTCATAGGTAAGAGTCACATGAGCAAAGCACACCAGGAAAGTATGTTCAGTGCTCACTGAGATCTGAGCACGCTATGGGAATTAATGATTCGTAAGGATCACGGAACGCACAAAAGGAGAAACGTCAGAATAGGAGCAGCATAGCCCTCAGGCAGGGAATGAGTCAGGTGTGGAGAGAATCAGATTGCAATTTTTTTTTTTTTTTTTTTGAGATGGAGTTTAGCTCTTGTTACCCAGGCTGGAGTGCAATGGCACAATCTCCGCTCACTGCAACCTCCGCCTCCTGGGTTCAGGCAATTCTCCTGCCTCAGCCTCCTGAGTAGCTGGGATTACATTTTAAGTGAGCTTTGCTGCCAAGGGTATTTCCTACCCATTTGTTGACTTTTCAATGTTCCCCCATGTTTTAATTTTTTTACATAATCCCAGTAGAATTCTGAGACATCCGGTAAAGACAGTGCCATGGGAATTGATAATGCCCTAATGTAAACAGTTTATACCAGTTTCGTGGAGCATGAGTAAGAACCACAAAGCTACGTTTTCTGCTCTCTGCTAAACAACAATAACTTATTCTCTAAAAATGAGTGAATGAGTGAATTAAATAACTGACTGTACCCAAACTGGAAGTGGCTTGAGAAAGTGTAAGTTTTCATTTCTGGTACCAGATCTCAATTGGAACACATTATTTTCATTAAACTTCAACTTCTCCCATAAATTACAAATATGTATTGAGCATGGCTTTCTGCACAGCAAGATATTGTAGGAAAAGAGATAGTAAGCTATACAGTACTTAAGTTGCAGGGTGAAAGGATGTTTAAAATAATAACTTACTAACCGGAGATGGTCAGGGTAATTTCCTGTGGAGACCCCGAGGAAGACGTGGCCGTGGGCCCAGTGGCCTGTGCCAGGACCTGGCTCAGGCTGGAGTTGTTAATGGTCAGGGTGATCTCGTGGGGACCGCTGGAGGGGGATACCAGACCTTGCGAAGTCATCACTTGAGTGAGGTCTTGAGTCCCTGATTGTCATTACAAAGCAAAACAAAGTTGAGCTTTAAAAAAGCCATCTTCCCCTATTTTTATATTTAAAATATTTTAATTAAACTCTTATTAAATATTTCAGTAAGAGAAAAATTTAAAACGAAGCCTCAGTCATCTCCAATTCCTTCATCTAAAAAGAAAGTCTTGCGATGAAATGAAGGCAGGATGACAAGAGTAACAGATGGAGGGAGTAATAATCTGACAGTAGATGTTAAATACATATCATTAATGATAAGAAAAGCTGCCGGGCGCGGTGGCTCACGCCTGTCATTCCAGCACTTTGGGAGGCCGAGGCGGGTGGATCACGAGGTCAAGACATCGAGACCATCCTGGTCAACATGGTAAAACCCCATCTCTACTCAAAATACAAAAAATTAGCTGGGCACGGTGGCGCGTGCCTGTAATCCCAGCTACTCGGGAGGCTGAGGCAGGAGAACTGCCTGAACCCCAGAAGCGGAGGCTGCGGTGAGCCGAGATCGCGCCATTGCACTCCAATCTGGGCAACAAGAGCGAAACTCCGTCTCAAAAAAAAAAAAGAAATTATAAGAAAAGCTTATCTTATTCTTAGGACATTTGACTTATTCTCTTCTAAGAGAAGAAAATGACATCATAATATCCTAAAATCAAATGAGTGATCACAAGCAAGAAACTGAAACTCCAGCTGTCAAAATAAGCAAAATTGAGGGGTTCTTACCACTGCTGTTAGTGGTCAGCACGGAATCCTGCTCAGACAGGGGGCCTATGGTCAGATTCGCAGAGGTCACCGTGGGCTGTAAGGACAGGCCTGAGATGGGCTGGATGACAACACTGGCGGGAACTGTGCTGTCCGATGTCTGCAGAGAGCTGTTCTGTGGGGCCAGGCCAGGCTCCCCCGTGAGCTGCTGAGCCAGCAGGTTGCCCTGCTGTAATGTCTGCTGCAGAATGCTCGGATCAATCTAAAAAGCAGCAGAGGTACTTGTAATGAAAACTTCAAGCTTCTGTGTGATGCCAAGTACAGCACAGAAGACCATGGAAGGTGCCATACCTGCAATGTAATGTTATTAATGCTGGTGGCATCAATTCCAGAAATCTGTACATTTGGTCCTACCAAGTTAGCAGCCAACTGTAACTGGATGCCTTCTAGGGTAGCCAGGCTCCCATCTGTCAGAGACACTGTCAGGTCACCCCCAGCTGGCCAGAGAAAGAGAAAGGGAAAGACTGAAAATTATGAATGCTTCTTAAAACTAAAGCAATTCATGTTTTACATAGGGATGTTTAAATACATGAGTGGTACACATTACGATACAATCTTGTTGTGGAACACCCATGCCTACGTTATACCATACACATACACTGTCTAATCATCCCAAAATAACTCTGTGAAATACAATCTTGTTGTGGAACACCCATGCCTACGTTATACCATACACACACACTGTCTAATCACCCCAAAATAACTCTGTAAAATAGATACTCATACTACTCACTTTAAACATGTCAGAAAAGCAGCTCAAAAAGATTCCCCTGATTAGCCCAAGGTTCAAAACAACCACTACTACTGAGTGGCAGTCAGGCTGCAATCGTGCCAAAGTCACAGAAACAGAAAGAAGGGCACAGAGGACCCTGACTGGCATGTACAACTGCCGCATTTACCTGTAGCAGATACACAAATCAACACAGCCAGCTAAAATGTAACACTTTTTAAGCACTATGTGACCCAAAAATAACTGGGTAACTAGATCAAAAACAATGCTAGTGAGTGTTGATAAATAACACTTCTCACTACTACATTTATGAGAATGCCAACTGAGTAAAACCCAGTTCAAACCCATTAAAAACAAAAGTGGAAGGAAGTGCTTAGTATGAAAAAGCAGCCATCATGGAAGGCAGAACAGGAAATGGAAAGGAACGATGCCTCAGGACGAGGTTCCAATCTTTCCTAATGCCTGATGAGGGAAAGGTTCAAAGAAGGAAAACATGGTGCTGTGAAAACAACGCTTCTTCTGCTCCGGGAACAGACAGAAGCCACGCAGAACCATTCAATCCCTGTGCTGCTCCCATTCCCCTGGCTCAGCGTTTACCTGACACGGAGGCGGGAAGAATAGCTTGGCCCACCAGCCCTGGTTGCAGCAGATTCTGATCGAACTGTCCTGTTAGAACGGAGTTGTTCATGATGAACACGCTGGGGTCGGTGGAGGAGGAGTTGAGGAGGCTGACGGGCTGCAGTGCTTCTGACGAACTTCGAGTCACAGGCTTTCTGGCCTTCTTCGGGTCCGGTTTATAATGAAACTGCATGTGCGTCTTCCTTCTACCCGAGGTACGGAAACGCAGCTCGCAGTGCGGGCATTTGAAGGGCTTGGCTCCCGTGTGCAGACGCATGTGGACCTTCAGACTTCCCTTTGTGGAGAAGGCGTTGCTGCAGACGTGACAGCTGAAGAGCTTCTGACCTGTGAAAAGCCCAGCTGAGAATCAGCAGAGGCGATGGCAGCCATGACACGCACACCCATGCCACTCAGTTGTCAACACGAATGTTAATGTGTTGAATCGGTGGAAGGAAGCGCTTTAAAGAAAATCCCTTTCACCAAGATGTCAGAGGCAATTGTAGAAATTTAACAATATATTGTTTATAATTAGAATTTGGTATTTTCACAATCCTTTGAGGTTTATGTGTTTCTAAACCACTGCATTTTTCTGAACCTTGATTGAAGTATTTGATTTATGTTTATCAGAAACAAATGGGTGGTATGACTTAACAGCCCCCCTCTGAATTACCATCACTTTTCTTAAATTTTACAAATGGTACTTTAACATCTCAGCATGTCTCTATCTTCTCTTCTGCCAAACAGGGGCAACCAAAATGTCAGCCCAGGTCAGCATCACACTGGGAGAATGTGCAAAAGAAAATTCTATTCTAGGGTCAAAGAGCTGTGTGCCTGTATCATGTACCTAGCTCCTTAGGCGCTGGCCCCTTTCAGGATTACTGGGTATATCAAAGGCCGTGAAGGTGCTGAGCACCGCGAGCATAGGCTGTACCCTGGAAGAGCCTCAGGGAGTAGAAAAACTCCTGGCTGGCTTTTCCCTCTACTGGTCCAGGAACGAATGCTAATTTTTACCAAGATGGTGCACACCGGAAACCACAAAGGGACGAGGGCAACCTGCTATCCCATCGCTGCCCTGGCTTCCTCAGAAATCACACCTCTACTTCAGGATGGAGAAAGAGGCACCAAAAGGTATTTATCCAGAGACTTCCATTTCTATTCCGTATCCATGTAGCCTACGCTGAACTCCAAAACCAGGAAAATGATGAAGCAGCGTGCACCAAGTCATCGCGGCTATCGCTGGGCACCTGCTGCATGCCAGGCCATATCCTAGGCCTGGGGGCATGAAGGTAAGTGAGGCCAGACCCTCCATATGTGCAAAAAGTTCACTGCATTACACAAGAGCCAAACACAGGGAGCCTAACAGCAGAAAAACTGCACACAGAACAGCCAGATAAACAAGCTCATCTGTTTGTCTAATTCCAAATAGGAACCCATCAGAACAGAATCACAGGGCTTCAGGTGAACGTGTGAAAGGCCATTTGTTCTTGTCTGGTGAATTCTGCTTATAACCAACAATTCAGAATATAAATTAGTTTGATCATCAGAGTTCTATGAATCATTATAACAACAGCTTTCCACTCACTGAGAGTTTACCATAGGCCAAACACTTTTCTTAAGTCATCTAAATGTCTGAACTCCCAAAGAGGAGGTGCAACTATCAGCCCATCTTCTGCAGGAGAAACCTGTGGCTATGAGGAGAACCTTTTCTAGGGCCACAGAGCTCAGAGAAGGACTGCAGGATTCCCAGACAGGGAGAGGTGGAGCTGGCCTCACAGCCACTAGGATGCACTGTGCAGAATTCCAGAAGCAAAGGCGCAGGAGTATTCACCTCAGTGCCTCACATGAGATGAAAGGGAGAAAGAGGCCAGGAAAGTCGGCCATGCCTTTCTCCCTTCATAAGATTTTCTCCCCACATAGAAATAATCATGAAATGATAACTGTCATCAGATTTGCTGAGCACCAGCTTTTACAAAACCTCAACAAACTGAATCTCATTGGCCTAAATGAGACTAAGAGGTAATCTTTATTTATTTATTTATTTTGAGAGTTTCCTTCTTGTTGTCCAGGCTGGAATGCAATGGCGAGATCTCAGCTCACAGCAACCTCCGCCTCCTGAGTTCAAGTGCTTGTCCTGCCTCAGCCTCCCCAGTAGCCGGGATTACAGGCATGCATCACCACGCCTAGCTAATTTTGTATTTTTACTAGAGACAAGGTTTCTCCATATTGGTCAGGCTGGTCTCAAGGATAAAAGGTAATTTTTTTTAACAAAGATATTTAAGCATGAGTAAGAATACGTGACAATTTTTAAGAAAAATTCAACTTCTGAGACCAATCCTTTTTTTCTTCTTAGTGTCATTTTGGCAGTTTTCCCTGTGTCAGGAATAAAAAAATATTTTATATCAGTTTCTTAATGGTTCCTCATTTTTAAGCTTTCTATAATTTAAAAAGTACTTATGTATGCAAAATATATAGGACTAAAACATACGAAATGCTACCCTAAGACATCTACTAAAGATGCAGGAATGCGTTCCTTACCTGTGTGAGTCTTCACATGGCAGTCGAGAGTGGATTTCACAGTAAAACTCTTTCCACATTCATCACATTTGTACGGCTTTTCTCCAGTATGGATTCGAACATGCCTATCCAAAAAGCATTCATTACAGGCGCACTGACAAACGACTTCATGATTTGAAATTTATAACTATATAAATTAAAATCAGGTGTTACTACTTCTGATTAAGTTTGGCCAAGAAAAACCTTAAGCTTCACTCCACACACACAAAAAAACATAAACAAATCCAAGTAACAATAAAAATATTTGCAAGACAAATAATAGAGATAATTTCCTTATGGCCAGGTGCGGTGGCTCACACCTGTAATCTCAGCATGTTGGAAGACCGAGGTGGGCAGATCACCTGAGGCCAGGAGTTCGAGACCAGCCTGGCCAACATGGTAAAATCCCGTTTCTACTCAAAATACAAAAATTAGCTGGGCATAGTGGCGAGGGCCTGTAACCCTAGCTACTCAGGAGGCTAAGACGGGAATCACTTGAACCCGGGAGGCAGAGGTTGCAGTGAGCTGTGATCACGCCACTGCATTCCAGCCTGGGCAAAGCAAGACTGTCTCAAAAAAAAAAAAAAAAAAAAAAATTTCCTTAAAAAACCCAAGAATTCTGGCAAATCAGCAGGAAAACCCAAACAATATCAGAGTAGAAAAGTAGGCAGTGCACAGAGAGTTTACAGAAGAAATACCAACAGCCAAAAAGCATACGCAAAGCTGTTCAATCACACTTAGAATCAAAAAAGAGCAAATGAAAATGAGATATCATTTCCCGCATCCTGTTAGCCAGAGCTGTAAAAGAGGCACTTGGAGTCTCTGAAAGACAGAGGCACAGGGCCCTCTGGTGGCATCTGCCAGCCTCTACCCTCACTGCGCTGTCAGAGGCACACAAGCTCACAGAAGACAGTCACCGCAGCACCCTGCCAGTCATCAAACATGGAAATTCCGTGTTCGGTGGGAGGGTCTGTCAAAATTAATCTGGATGTCCATGCGATGGAACACTGTTGCCATTGAAAAGAATGAAACAGCTTTATGGATACTGACAAAGAAAAACATCTATGACCATTGATATGTTAAAATTTAAAAACCAGAATTGCAGAACTTAATGCTGATTAAGTCCAGACATTTCTGAAGAAAAGACTTAAGGACTATTAACAGCGGTTATCTCTGGGGAGCAGGACACCCTTCAGTTTTTGTTTTTGTTGTTTGTTTGTTTGTTTTATTTACTCACTGGGAGGCTGAACCTTGCACTTTTTAAAAATAAAGGATAGAACAACAAGAAGAAAACGCAGCTATAAGGATGCCCTGCTCTTCTGCTCTTTAGGTACAGCTGATGGAGACACACTTAGCACCTCATGTTGCCTTGGTGGCATCCTGTCTCTGCTAATTGGCTGGCGTGCCCCACCCACAGGCAGGTCACAAAGTGCTGTCTCAACGCCTCCACACGACACCGTTGCCAGGCCTGACTTTCTCATCTGTGATTCCATCACTAGCCCCTACTGGCAAAACTATCTCCCTGGATCAGCTATTCATGAGTTTCTCCAGGCCACACACAACTGCTGGCCAGACTGGACTCCTTCTTAAAAACACGCAGTCTTCTCTCACAACCCCTTAGATCCTCCTCTCCTTAGTGTGACTTTCCACATCTTATTTCCCAACCTCAGATGACACCATCAACTTAGATCCTACCCCTGAACTGCACTGCATGGCTCAAACAGAGCTGGCAGCTCGAGGGTCCTGTGGCCACACTATCCAGGGGGACCTGGGCTCTCTCTTCTCCAGTCAGCTCCCTCATTGTCACTCTCTGGCTGAACATACCTCCCCTTCCTGCTGTGGTCAGCACATGAGGGCCAGAAGTCAAGGTGCATGCTCACTAGGGTGGCATTGCCAACTCAGCAGCTCCTTGAAACCAGCTACCCTTTTTCCCTGTACTACCTGCCCCTGCCCTCTGTAGAATCAAGAGTACAAGGAACACACCCTCTTTGGTTTTCTGAAACGTCCTGCAATATTGAAATCTTCACAGTTCGTTTTACTAAGTTGCAGAATAACTTTCACTCACTTGTTCTATCTCCTAGAGCAAAACATAAGCATCCCCCTTATCAGATATAGAAACTCTTCTGATTCTTTTTTTTTTTCTTTGAGACGGAGTTTCGCTCGTTACCCAGGCTGGAGTGCAATGGCGTGATCTCGGCTCACCTCAACCTCTGCCTCCTGGGTTCAGGCAATTCTCCTGCCTCAGCCTCCCGAGTAGCTGGGATTACAGGCACTCGCCACCATGCCCAGCTCATTTTTGTATTTTTAGTAGAGACGGGGTTTCACCATGTTGACCAGGATGGTCTCGATCTCTTGACCTCGTGATCCACCCGCCTCGGCCTCCCAAAGTGCTGGGATTACAGGCGTGAGCCACCGCACCGGCCACTCTTCTGATTCTTTAGAAGAATATTGATACTTTGGTCTTCCTTTCTCCAGAAAGGAAGGACATTCTGAGAGCCCCTTCTGTTCTTTATCATGGGTCTTGGTTTCCAGATTCTTCACAGTTCTTCTAAACTCAATCTCATGTATCAACCACTGCTGTTTGGCCAATTGCCAATTAGTCTCCCTCCTGTCACCCGTATGCGTCCCGCTCCTCACACTGACTGGCAGGCCTCAGGCAGGAGGGCGCCTTCTGCTCTTCTGCCTCTCCACAGAGCTGAGAGCCCCGCCTTCTTCAATGGATAGATTTGTTTTCACTGTTTACTACTACAACAACCCCACAGAAATAAGCACAAGCAATCTACGGAGAAAACAGACTTTCTAATTACTGTTCGGAAGGACTTACTCTAGATAGCTAACTCAAGCTTAAAACCATACAGTCAAGTAAGCAAGCAGCCATCACTCGGTGACACTCAGGTTCAGGAACTAACGGCCTTGCTGCAGTGAAAGTCACCGAAGGGGCAGCTGCCTGCTCCCCCAGTCTCCAGAGCAGAACCCACATGGCGGCCGTGCCCTCACCTCACCAGGTCGCTGGGCTTCTTGAAGCTCTTGGGGCAGTAGGTGCAGCAGTTGGCATGCTTCGGCTCGTCCTGCAGCTCCGCCTGCTTGTCCCTCAGCTCGCTGATGCGGTCCTTCTCTGCTGCAGACTGCACCAGGACCTTCTCTGACACCGTGGCACTCTCCTGCGGACGGATCTTGGCTAACTGGGCTGTCTCCTCCTCTGTGAAAGTGATGACCTCAGGACGAGACTTTCGTGACGCATTTCTGTCGGGAAGTTCTTCCTCTTCCTCCATACAAATGTCTAAACAACATAGAGGAAAAAGGATCAAAATCCTAATGAAAAAGACTTAGATTTTTAGCAAAACAATTAAAACTAAATAGGTATGTATGTAATGAAAATTAATAACTCAACCAAGCTATTTTTACGATGGTAGAGAGTCACTATATTTTCCCACCACTATTGCAAAACTTAGGTCACAGAAAGAAAACAGCCAAGTGAACTGGAAAGCGGGGGCAGGGGATGAACAGGGTGGTGAAGGGTGCAAATGTCCGCTTAGATAGAAGGCATAAGCTCTAATGTTTGACAGCAGAGTGGACGATACAGTTAACAACAATGTATATTTCAAAGTAGTCAGAGGAGAGAACTTGAAATGTTCCCATACGGAGAAACTGATAAATACTTAAGGTGATGAACACCTCAAATACTCTGATTTGATCATTCCACATTCTATACATGAAACAAAATATCACATGTGCATCATGAATATGTACAAATATTACGTATCCCCCCCAAAAAAAAGGCAAGTGAAGGGTGCCCCTTAGGAGAGCAATTACTAACATTAGTAATTGCACGGGTTAAAGACCTCCGTCCACCCCTCCGTGCAAATTCAGGAGCAAGCTTTGAAGCTGACAGGATCCACACAAGCTACCAGGGTCATAAACACAGATATTCATTTACTAATAAGGGCAAAAAATGAATTACCACCAGATTTTTAAAAACCAGAAGCCCAAAATTGGGAGACCAAATTAATAAATTAGCCAACGATCCTCAAGCAAAAGCAATTACTCTAAAGGAGAAAATAAAACTTTAAAATACATCTGGTTGGTCCTCTGTATCCATGCCTTCCACATTCAGAGATTCAACCAACTGCAGTTAGAAAATACTTAGATTTTTTTTCTCGTTATTATTCAATAAACAATATGGTATAATGGCTATTTACGACCAGGTGCAGTGGCTCACACCTGCAATCCCACTGCTTTGGGAAGCTGAGATGGAAAGACTGTTTCAGGCCAGGAGTGTGAGACCAGCCTGGGCAACACAGCAAGACCCCATCTTTACCAAAAATTTTTAAATTGGCCATACATGGTGTCAAGGCAGGGCTTAGCCCAGAAGTTCAAGACAGCCTAGGCAACAGAGCAAGACCCTGTCTCTACAGAAAATTTAAAAATAATTAGCCAGGCAGGGTGGTGAGCCTGAAGTTCCAATTACTCAGGAGCCTGAGGCAGGAAAATTGCCTGAATCCAGGAGTTCAAGTCTGCAGTGAATTATGAATATGACATTGTACTCCTGCCTGGGTGACAGAGTGAGACCGTGACTCTCAAAAAAACCCCAAATTATTTACGTAGCATTTATATTGTATGAGGTATTAAAAGTGATCTGGAGATGGTTTAAAGTATACAAGAGGATGCGTATAGGTTACATGCGGATACCGTGCTGTTTTAGATCAGAACTTCAGCATCTGCAGAGTTTGGGGTCCTCAGGAGTCCAGGAACCAGTCCTCAGCTGACTGCTTCAGCTGAGAGAGAACTACATGTACAAATATTCATTCCTCAATGAAAAATAAGGGTGCATTCCAATTGATGAAAAAAAGAAGAAGAAGAATAGAAAAGGAAAAGAAGTTTGGCTAGGAACAGGGAGATCATTATTGCATGAGTGACTGAAAACTTACAACTCAACAGAAACACTAAACTGCAAAGTGGCTGATTAACTCACCAAATTAGTAAATTTAAAAACAAAGTGGATAATTTTTCTTAGCACATAAAAGGAAAGATGAGAGATGGGACGGGAGAGGGGAGCAAAGGACAGCAAGGGTGTGGGCTGAGGGAGAAAGTCATGGAGGATAAAGCCAGTGGACTCAATGTCCCTCTCATAGACATTCCAGAAAATGATACATCAAACTAAAATTCCACATTATATAAAGTCTGGAACGAGTTGAGGGCCGCTTATAGACAGTGGCCCCACCAACACTCATGAAGAAATAAGGAGGTACCTCTGCTAAGGTTCTTTAAGGAATTGAGAACACAATCAATACAGCACAGGCCGGAGAGAGAGAGCGCAACAAAATTAAGCACGACCGAAAGACAGCATGAAGCAGATGGCCAAGAGGCCACGCAAGCTAACATGGCAATAATGTGAGGGAACTGAACCCCTAGCCAAGACCCTAGTTTGGGCAAAACAACGCAATTTAACATGTGACTTTTCTCCTATGGACAAGAGAGTTCATCCACAGTTTCCCCGCAATGATCCAAGGAAAACAGGACATCTAAAGGTGAACCTAAATAAACATGTAGCAGTGAGATGAAGCCCAAACAGAACCCCCAAATTGATGCTAGAATTCAGTAGCATTAGAAGCTTTATTCATGACGGAAAGGACTATGTAAAGAGGCTTAGAGATTATTTGAATTGGCTGATAAATCAACACCCTCCAAATGGCAGGGTTCTAGAAATAATGCCTGGATGTTCTATAGCCTTTAACTCATTTGAAAGAAAGAGTCATTTTCTTTTTATACTTTATGAAATCTCATGAAAGAATTTTAAAAGTGGAAGTAAAGATAAAAAAGTTTAAACATGGAAGTAAGCACCATCAGATTAAAGAGTTTGAACTTCTCAGTATAACAGGTCAGAAACTTTTATTCTGGAATTAGCTATTAAAGAAATGAGGTGCAAAGTGGCTCTGGCAATGGTTAAGTCAAAGTCACAGTTTTTGTTACTTCGAGGGAGGTTGGGCAAGTTTTACAGACTTATTCCTCAAAACAGAAAAGTAGACTGCCATTATTTCAGCCTAACCCATCAGGGACACCGGATGGTCTCGCTGTGATCATGGAGTCAGGTAGAGGCAAAGCAGACAGAGAGGCAGCAGTACCTTGAAAGGGGACGATGGGTAGGTCAGCAGTAGGTCTGACCTCTGAGGACAGGCCCCACACAGCACCCCCATCTCCACACAGCCACTGACACAAGATTCACTGACAACACTGCGCACCAACTGTGCCAGGACAGGATGGCTGCGGCATGGTCAGGAACCCAGGTCCGCACGTGCACTCAGACCTGACCTCCAAGAGTGTCAGAACTGACATGACTTTAAAACTGCAGTCTGTATGCTGGCATGATGTGCTAGAATACAAAATGTCCTCTATTTTTAACTCTGTAATTTCATTGTGGAACTTACTAAAAAGAAGTTGTCTTACAAGTACACAAAGTATAAGCACAAAAATACTCAGGATTTTTCCTCTTGGTGTGGGACTTGAGCGAATTAACTTGTCTAATGTTTAGCTGGCTCGTGTACAAAATGAGATTAATCCCTCTAACTGTGCAGTGTTTTGTGTCTATTACATGAGGCCATGTAATGGCAAGCACAGTTTTGCCAGGGGTTACAGTACACCATAAATGCTACAGTACTACATAAATTACCATTTCAGTGAAAGACGAGATACCAGCTACACATCCATGAATCCATCAACAGGAAATTATGTGACAAAATATGATGGAATTCCATGGAGTCATCTGAACTGATGTAGATCCGTGTTCAATAAATTAAATATGCCTAGAATAAACTTCGGTAGAGGGAAAATTAAGCATACTACAACACTGTATATAGCAAGAAACCACATTTGTTAAAAAAAAAAAGTCTCTAGCGACATGTATGCAGAAGCATAAAAGAAAGAACACCATGTTGGAGCAAATGCTAATTGAGTGTGTGGTGACTGGCAAGAGCAGACGTTTTCTTCACTGTACCTCTGGACTTTTCCAGGAGCATGTACTGCTCTCATAATCAGAAAATAGACTTACCTTTTAAAAACTCAGGGTGTACACGGCCAGGTTAGAATACTCACATTGATTTGTGAATAGATTTATTCCTAAATTAGCAACAGGTTAATACACCTTGAATCAACAAATGAAAAATACCTCCTCCTTCTGTCTCTGCAGTGGTTGACACAGCAGAGGAGACGGTTTGGTGTCTCTTCATGTGCTTTTTACAATGCACTGTAGTTCGGAAACCCTCCTCACAAAATGGACATTTATAAGGCTTCATGCTCATGTGTGTGGCCATGTGCCGGGTGAGGCTGCCATTGGTGGTGAAGGAGGCACTGCACACGCTGCAGCTGAACGCCTTCACTCCTACGAGCACAGAAACAGAGAAAACACTTGGAACGAGTCATATTTCATTACCTTAAAAGCATAAGCAGTCAAAAGCAAACAAAGATGGGTTTAATACGTCACAAAACTACCCTGAGGCTTAGCAGAGTTTGGTTAAAAAAAAAAGTAAATCACAAAATTATAGACAGTTTATTTGGTGGGGTTTCCAATCTTTAGAAATGGATTGTTCTAAGAACATGGAAGTGGACATAGGACGTCTCACTGCCTTCTCTACTGAAGTCAGCAGCCTCTGCAAAGTCATAGTCTTCAAAACAAATCACTGCCCTCGGTCTTTAACACTTACACTGGCACCATGTGGATTCCACCTTAGAAATGTTTTCTCCAATCCATCCTTCATCACTCCCACAGCAAGTGAAGTAGATCAGGCATTGAGAACTAGTCTATAAAACTTCTATACAGCTTCATTTTCAAATGAAGTCCGATATAGAAGGCCCTCTCTCCTCCAGACCAATGCCACAGAAGCAAGTAACTAGCTATTTTCTTCCTGTTTCTGTGTTTCTTCCACTGTTCCTTGAAACAGTCACATATTGCTGCTCTCTGTCTCCGCAGCAGGTCCTTCAAAGTACCATATTAACTTCTCCCAGCAATCTGTCCTATGTCCACTACAGCCACTCCCCAGTCATCAACCTATGGATTAGTCAATAACACTTTTCCTTATTTTGCCTGGCTGTATGTTTCTAAGCAGCATTGACTTTCATTTTCGAATAAAGCCTTACACAAAATATACATTGATATTAAACTTATTAAGAAAATACTGAATAAACAGATAACAGTAATATGTTAAAAATATTTTTAACTGTACACCACATATCTCATAAAGGGCCAGTAGCCAGAATATAAAAACCTCTTATGACTCAATAAGGCAAATAATCCAATTGTAAAATGGGCATAGGATTCGAACAAACACGCCTCAGTGTCTATGAAAGATGTTTAACATGATAAGCCATTGGAGAAATGCAAATCAAAGCAAAACCACAATGACACGCAGGAAGGCCCATGACCATCCACGAGGCGGGTCGTAAGAGAAGCAGTAATAGGCATTGGCGAGGATGTGGGGAACCAGAGCCCTCCCACGCTATGATGGGCTGTCAAATGCGGCAGCCACAATGGAAAACAGTTCCACAAACTCAAATGTTTTTAACAGAGTTAACATATGACCAGACAGTTCCACTCCTCAGTAGAGAAACGAGCCCATGTCCACACAAACACTTATACACAAATGTTCATAGTAGGATTACTCATGATAAACAAAATATGGAAATAACCCCATGGCCATCAACCGATGAACAGGTCAATAAGATGCCGCGTATCCTGCTGTGGAATACAGTTTGCCCATAAAAGGAATGAGGTGCTGATACTACAATACGGGCGAACCTTGAACACACTGTGCTGTGAAAGTGGCAGACAAAATGCCACGTATTAGATGAGTTAATTTCTATAAAACACTACAGAGGCTCACCTAGAAAGACAGAGGAGGATAACAGGTGCCTAGGGTTGGGGCATTGAGGGGGAATGGGGAGTGACTGTTCATGGGTACAGAATTTATTTTGGGTGTAATAAAAAAGTCCTAAAATTACAGTTTTTATGGTTGCAGAACTCTGTGAACACACAAAAATCACCAAATTGTACACTCTAGGTGGGTGAACTGAAAGGTATATAGACTATATCTCAAGAGAGCTTTTCTTTTAAAGGCCTAATCCCCAAGTGTAAGGCAGTCAATGACCTGTGTGTGTCTTCTCATGGGACTTGAGGACCCCAGAGGAAACAAAGCCACGTCCACAGAGCTTGCACTTGTAGGGCTTCTCCCCTGTGTGCGACCGCACATGCTGCTTCAAGTGGCTGGACTTCTTAAAGCCTTTGTTGCAATAGTCACACCTGCAAAGCAAACATGCAGAACTCAGGCAACACGTTCATTCGGAGCAGTTACAAACACCGCACCTGAGAATGGGAGAGAAGCAAACGGGCTTCACAACAACCACGAAACCTTCAGGCACAACTGGTACAAAGCAGGTGTGCTCTCCAACACTGAAAAAATTATAAGCTATAAAACATTGCCAACAATTCTTTGTTACATCAAATTCCTCTTAGAGTATTTATAGTCTTAAATGTATTACTCAAAAATTAGTAAATCCTATAACCCCCCAGCAGACATAATATTTGATTAATTAGAAACTTTCTCTAAATAGAAAATGCATGCACTCTCTTCTTTATTAAGTCATTAGACACTGAATCCTTCCATTGCCTCAGAGGCAGAATCATTCCTGCATCTAGTCACTTGGAAATGCCAAGCTATGCACTACTTTTGCTTATAAAATACAAAACACAGTGTACTGAAGTTATGCTGAATAATATATAAACATGCATCATTTCCCCCTCAGTTGTTACTGAATAGACTAATGTTATCTTAAGGATTAAAATAATCATAAATTTCAAAACTCCTATTCACGTATTATTAAAAGCTTATTCCATTAGGATGTCTCTTTTGTCCATTCCTAAGTTTTAATCTCCAGTAAGAGGTTAGCGACATCACTAAACTCTAACCTATGTCTAGACTGGGTGCCCACATAGAGGCAACTAAAGTTTCTCTCAAGTCCAAATTCAACTAAAAGCTACAAGTGTCCGAATACATCCTGAAATTTCACTCTTCTAAATTTGGTCTGGCGGTGGCTCACACCTGTAATCCCAGCACTTTGGGAGGCTGAGGCAGGTGGATCACTTGAGGTCAGAAGTTTGAGAACAGCCTGGCCAACGTAACGAAACCCCATCTCTAGTAAAAATACAAAAATTAGTGAGGCATGGTAGTGCATGCTTGTAATCCTAGCTACTCAGGAGGCTGAGGCATTAGAATTGCTTGAACCCAGGAGGCAGAGGTTGCAGTGAGCCAAGATTGTGCCATTGCACTCCATCCCAGGTGACAAGAGCAAAAACTCTGTCTCAAAAAAAAAAGAAAGAAAAGAAAGAAAGCAGGTGAACAACAGTCACTCGTTGATTTTAGAAAAATAATTTTACAAGTGAAATCAGGATTGATTCTGACCTACATGTGAATAGCAGATTATCAGTCTGTGGAACCGAGGATCATGAAATCACTTGAAATTTACTGAGAAAAGGTCCACTAATAAGGAAAGTAAGCTTTTCAAAACACTCACGTCTATTAATTAAAGATCAACAACAATACGATATTGGCTATAACACAGAGAAACAGATACCCTTCAGAGGTATCTAATGGACATGGCCTCCCTCTGCCAACCCTAGCCTTGTCCCACCTCCCTCCTCTCCCAAGAACCAAGCTCTGTTCATGTGAGGTAAACTCTTTCCTGCTAGTGCAAAGGCTGTTCACATTCTGCCCGGACCACAACTGCCTGCTCTGTTGACCACAGCTAAACTCCCAAAGCGTCCGAGAATGGCCTGCATTATAGATGCTAACAGTGTGGCACCCTCACCACAGGACAAACATCATGCTGGGGAGATGTGTGCTCATGTCAGGGACTCATCGCCCTTCAGGGAGGTGTACTCCTCCGAAGAGATTAGCTGCAGAGGGACAGGAAACATGCTGAGCTCCCAGGGACCACATCTGCTGCAACAGCTTATCTGAAGTGAGTCTGCCCAGGAAACACATGTACGGGGAGCGTTGCTGTTCTCTAATTTGTTGTACTTTATTGGGAAAATGATAGGCTACAGATCTGATGTTTCTCAATGTCTTGAAAAAGAATCTTTGATCTCTTTAGGAATCAAAATAAGCTACATATTCTCTCCTCAGAAAAATACACATGCACGCAAACATTCCACTCCAAGTTCTCTTGTCTCGTGGCTGGTTCATCTCAATCTCCGAGGCTGGTTCTCCTTCTCCTTGCTCATCTCTATGTGGTGTGGCCCGGTGCAATCTATGAGCCATTTCTCCCTCATGGGCCTGTCTCCTCAGCTTCAAATACCATCTACTCTGGCAACTCCCAAATAAGTGTATGTAACTTCTGGATCTGTTTAGAAGGTACAACCTACAGAATTCACTACCAAGTCAAGATACAAGAGAAACAGAAGAATTAAGGAGGAGTAAAGTCCAGTAATACCCAAGACAAAGTCATGAAGGCAACATGGGAAAACATTTATCACATGCAAATATAGTACAAAATCCCAAACTAGTCATTAGCAAATAAATACATGTTGAATAAATCGAAGTGTGAATAAATATCAGGAGACTCACAGGAATCTGAATCCATCCTGTGATATAAGAAATGGCTGGAATTTGCAACCATTCCAGTCTGGTGAAATGAACTGCCTACATGCCATTTCTCCTCAAACATCAATCCTAGTGTCACAGACCCAAACCTTGGTCTTCATACACAAACCAGCTTCCCCGAGGGCTCCCTCTTCAGGTGATGGTAATTTCATCCTCCTAGCTGCTCAGGTCAAAATCCTAGCAGTCATCCTAATGCTTCTGATCTTGACTTGCAATGAATCCTGTAGGTTAGGCCTTTTAAACGGATCCGGAACACACAGGCATTTCTTTTTCTTTTTCTTTTTTTTTGAGACAGGGTCTCATTCTTTCACCTAGGTTAGAGTGCAATGGCATGATCTTGGCTTACTGCAACCTCTACCTCCTGGGTTCAAGCAATTCTTCCACCTTGGCCTCCCGAGTAGTCGGGACATAAAGATGTGTTCCACCATGCCTGGCTAATTTTTGTATTTTTAGTAGAGATGGGGTTTCACCACATGTTGGCCAGACTGGTCTCAAACTCAGGACCTCAAATGATCCACCCACCACGCCCTCCCAAAGTTACAGGCGTGAAGCCATTGCGCCAGGCCATTTACAGACATTCTGTACATCGGAATGACTCTGCAAAAAGCTATCACATGGCCCCCGACACAGCCTCTTCCGCCTTTCCGTTCTCTATGGCCCACTGTCACATCTCATCTACCATGCAGTTTACTTGTTCATTTTGCTTATTAACTCTTTCTACTAGACTGTCAACTTCATGACAACTGAGTTGGATTCTTTTGTTTTGCTAATTCGGTCTTAGTGCTTGGCACATAAGGCATCCTCAATGAATGAATGGATGAATGATACAATGTGTAAAAGTCCAGTAATGCCTGAGCAGATGTCATGAAGGAAACATGAGGAAACATTAATCGCACTTAAAAATAATACAAAATCCCAAATTAGACATTGGCAAATAAATATATGCTGAATAAAAGAAAGTGTGAATAAAATATCAGGAAAGTCACAGAAATCTGAAGCCCATCTATGTGCATCCTCAGGATTCCTGGAACCCCATCCCAAAGACGGGACCACTGCTCATATACATATGTGTGTAGGTGTGTATCTGTATATGTATACACACACATACACACACACACACACATACTTTTTTTTTAAAATCAGAAACAAACCTGAACATGTAACACCTGAATTTAAAATAAAAGTTGTTTTTTTTCCCTTTGGGAGGGCACAGAGTCTCCACTCCATCACCCAGGCTGGAGTGCAATGGTGCAATCGTGGCTTACTAAAACCTCCACCCCCCAGGTTCAAGCAATTCTCAAGTCCCAGCCTCCCAAGTAGCTGGAATCACAGGTATGCACCACCACATCTGGCTAAAATTAAAATGATTAAAAATATATATATATATATCAGTGATGGGGTCTTGCTAGGTTGGTCTTGAATTCCTAAGCTCAAGTGTTCCAACCACCTTGGCCTCCCGAGTAGCTGGGATTATAGGGGCCCACCACTGCATCTGGCTCTCTAATATATTTTTGCAGTTTGCAAACTCATGAAGACCTCAGCGTAGCATCCTTACGAAGAAATCTAATGCATAAGCATACTGGTTCAAGGTACTTACATTATGTGTTTAATATTAGCAAAACCTATGCATCTAAAAAAATCTTAAGAGCATTCATTGGAGGCAATGTAGCTTATCAGTCTTCAAGAGTGACTGTAAAGAAGATGGGGTGTGGTGTTTGCTTCAGTGGCTCCGGAATAAAAATGTGCTAGAGTTTGAAAAGTACTTTTAAGCATATTATAAATATATAGAATTGATATATATATAAATATATCAACATATTATAAAGCCAAGACTATCTCTGTAAAAAAACCACACTCATATTCTAATTTTTATGACATACATGCTCATCCTTCATTTTGTAAGAATATTCATTTTATTCACTGTGAGTGTAGATGCCACAGTGTGAGCTGGGTGGGAGTCTGTCTGTTCACCAGCGTCTCCCAAGTGACCAGTGTGGTACACTGTGTACAGAGGGTGCTTGATACGTACTTCTGAGCCAGCGGATGGACACAGCTAAGAAGCTGTCTTTCTAAAAATCTTTTTTTTTTTTAAAAGACGGGGTTTCACCATGTTTGTCAGGTTGGTCTTGAACTCCCGACCTCAGGTGATCCTCCCGCCTTGGCCTCCAAAGTGCTTGGATTACAGGCGTGAGCCACCCCGCCCGAAGAAGCTGTCTTTCTAATTGTGCTGTATCCTGGCACACAAGTTGTTATACATAAAGCACATGAAGAGTCTTGGGGTAAAAGGCATAATACAGATTTAAGTAACTTCTGCCAATGTAATAATAATGACTAAAGCAGTCAACTTCAGACGGGAAGCTACAGCAGAGTACTTCAAACAGACAAACTGAAGACTGCTTCATTCAAATCCTGGCCCACTCACTTACTTGCTGTAAAAATTTTAGCAAGGTAATCTCCTTTGTCTCAGATCCTTTATTTACAGAATATGGATGACAATGGAACTGTTCAAACAGTTTTGAGATAATGCAATTGCAAAGCCCTTGGAGCAGGGCAGGCGCACAGCAGCATCCATCGCCGGGAGCCAGCAGTACCGCAAGCTGGTCTGTGCAGACAACTACCTGTAAGAGCGCCTGCTCTGGTCCTCGCTGTCCTCTAGAAATTGGGAACCTTGCGTCTGTAGGTCCAACTCCTCTTGGGATGACTCCTGAATCAAGCGAGTTGTCTAAAATTTAAGAGAAGTATAAAGCAAACTACTTGAATATCTGTGAATCTTAGTAAGAGATTCCTCTTTCATTTGCTCTATTCTTACTGATGGTGAATAAAATCCCACCTTCAGAAAGTATAATATTATGTCTCCTCTTGTCACATTAACCAGAGGGTGAGAAAGACATGTTCTCCAGATCCCCAAGAATGGTACACACATACATAGAGCAGTCACACTAGCCCCATACCTTCCTGACAGCGGCACTACAATTCATGCTACCACAGCAAGGACGAAACAAAAATCTGGTCAATGTTTTCTAACCACTCTATATTAGACCCATGCTTTCCCTGGGCAGAGGGTAAGCTCCACTGACCTTCAGAAGGCCGGGACAGTCACAGGACAGACTTCGAACAGTGGAGTCATCCATTCCTGTGCAGTAACTGAATGTTGCTATAAGCAAGGGCCTGTGTCTCATTTGTTTAGCTGACTTCCAAAACCAACTTCGATAAAACTACAATCACAGAACTGGGTTTGCACAGTTTTATTTAGAGAGCTCTGGAGTGAAGTCAGCTGCTAAGAAGTAGATTCTCCGCTTCCCAGACTCAGCAACTGCTGCCGATTAGGTAGTTTCTAGCTATGAGAAAAATGTTCTGAAAATTTCCAGCCCTACCACTTGGGCAAAGCTACCAATGGTGGATTTTAAGAAGGGATAACAATTGGTCAATCATTTCTCATCACTATTAAAAAATTTCCAAAAGCAGAAAAACGAAAGTCAAAGGCAATATTAAAGCGTCTCCAACTAGGAGTAAGAGACAAAACTTTAAATATTTTTAAATGTCAGCATTCATTACATTTTCCTTCTAACATGTTTAAAAGCCCACAAATAAAAATGTTTAGGCTTTGTACCTAAAGCATCATAGTATCTTTCAATGTGTTATACATAACACTCTAGTAAATATTTGGCTTTTAATCACAAATGCAAAGCCATACCATGGCACTGAAACCTTTAGTAAAATTAAAATGTTTTAAGGAAAAAGAAAACCCTATGTACTAAACACTGAGGATTTCATAGGTAATGCAGTAACCTTACTGTTACAAGAAGTGAGCATGTCTCTTAAAATTTCCCTTAAGGAAACCTTGAATCATCACAGTGAGGAATGAAATAGCACCTGCTAAATACGGCCACATACGCACCCCTCTGTCCATACTCACTACACTCATCCCATCAGAGCTGGGAGCCTGCAGCAAGCTCTGCTGGTGGAAGCTTGTGGAGAGGGCCTGAGACTCAAGTGTGCTGGAATCCTGTAGCTGCTGGACAGGTGGAAACTGAGGCTGCTGATGGTATGTATCAGTCACTGTAAAACCTGAAATAAATTAGAAAAGAGGAGTTCTACAGAAAAATATTAAAGTTACATTAAAATGCTAAAACAGGTAGGTTTATAAATCTACCATGTCTAAAGGGGCCTTTCTATTTTGTGAATTAGAATCAGGACTAGCTGTTACTAGCAGGCTCTAACATTGTTTGCTAACAGGCAGGAGCTGTGCTTAGCAGACATCACACAGCACCAGCCACAGTCATCCAGTCACCATGAAGTTCCCATTTCTACTCAGCCACCTTTTCTTGGCTGGAAACTACGTGTGGTATGGCTGCAAAGGTCACCTTCCAGAAGACCTGAGCAGACCACAAAATAGTATGCATCGATTAAAAAAAAATCTACAATGCATGCAAAAAGTTATTTGGTTTGAAACCATACATTTTACAAGAGCCTTCAGAGAAAACATCTAAGGTTGTTGTAAAATTAAATTCAATTGAGGTACAGATCACTTACAAATTTCACTGAAAACCCGCCACTGACCTTGGGGCAGCCCTGCTGGCTCGAAGGGCTGCTGCGCAGGGGTCTGTTCGTCAAACTGCTCTATGGGCCCTCGCAGAGGGTCCTGCGGAGCCACAAACCCATCTAGGGACGAGATACCAAAAAGGGGGACTCAGACATTTGTTTCACATCTGCAAATCTATCCAAAAGTACACTTCAGCGAGTTTTCAAATATCAGACTCCTTATTTTAAAAGACAATAGGGAGATAATTTATGTAGGTATATGCTTAAAGCATTCTCTTTGCATTTCTAGAATATCATCCCTGAAAGCCTTACAGTCTGTCCAAAAACTTAGACATTGTTCCATTAAGCAATATTCTAAAATGGTGTTACATTACATAATTGTTTAACCTTTTTGGGTGTGCGTGCTTGCAGGTACCACACAGGAAAAGTGTATAATCCTACCTAGAGAGTAAATACATTTGAGACAACCGTAAAATAAAACGGTCAACTGGTCAGCACACTGTTGACAGCCCTGTGTGAAAGCAGCAGCCTGTGCCAGGCGGAAGCCAGCTATGTCACTAATCACAGTCTGCAGCTGGCCTGACATGGGCTTTTTGTAGCCAAACTACTGATGAAAGAAGCAATGTGCTGCTTTATATTCTGCTTCAGGAGCTTGATCTCATTGCCAACCAGTCTCCAACAGTTCACTGACCCACATTAGTCTGAATCTACACTGAGTGTACTTAACAGAACACTAAAGATCATCCAGTTTACTTGAAAGATGTTCACAGTATACTGGGTATATGAGTGGATTACAAAATAGTACGCACTGCAAGATCTTATTTGTATAACTTTTTTCTTTTGGAGACAGAGTCTCACTCACTCTGTTGTCCAGGTTGAAGTACGGAGGTGTCAGCTCAGCTCCCTGTAACCTCAGCCTCCCAGGTTCAAGCAATTCTCCTGCCTCAGCCTCCTAAGTAGCTAGGATTACAGGTGTGAACCACCACACCCAGCTGATTTTTGTATTTTTAGTGGAGATAGGGTTTCACCATGGCCAGGTTAGTCTTGAACTCCTGACCTCAAGTGATCTGCCTGCTTTGGCCTCCCAAAGTGCTGGGGTTACAGGTGTGAACCACCACACCCAGCCTTATTTGTATAGTTCTATATGCACATAAACACACACAAACATACACATACACACCCCTGCATATTTGTATGGAAAAAAATCGGAAGCATCTATATCAAAATAAGGACAATAGATTTTGCTGTAGTCTTAAGCTTTCAAATACTTCCTAATAAGATTTCAAATATTTCCTAACAAAAAGTCCAATCACTTTATGTTTTTGTTTTTAAAAAAAGACCTTGACCTAAGAAAGTTAATACAATTGAAGAGTAAAGATCTAATTGAAAAGTAACGATCCAATTTAAGAGCATGTGGAATGATATAAATACTGAATAAATACATTTTAAATGATAAAATACTGAATTCAGTCTCTGTCTCACACACAGCACATATCGTTTTAAAAGTCAGCAATGGGAGACACCGATGGACTGGAATGAGTGGGAAAGGCTGCAAAACTCCGTCAGGATCACTCAGAGTTAAACATTTACCTTCATCTGCTTCCAGGGGCTGATCTGCCAACTGCTGGCCCAGCCCTGCTTCCTCTGTGCCCACCACGTGCTGAGGCTCCAGGTCTAGCATGGCCTCAGCGTTCGCTGCGACCACCTCCGCTGTCTGCGGCAGCTCGTCGCTCTCGATCTCCACCTGCATCTGGGTGGAGGCCTGCATGCTCTGCTGGTCCACAGTGCTGGCATCTATCGAGGCTGCCTGCTGATGCTGTTGGAGCTGCTGGGCAAGTTCATATCTTCAGAAAAATAAACAGTTCATCAGATTAGATGCTGTCAAAGGTTACTTGTGTGGGCTACTACAGTGAGAAAGTTGTCATTGATTAAAGAACATTTTCTATTAATGATTTCATCTTGAAGTCTTGATGGCAATACAGGCAGAAACCGAACACCATTAGTAACTCTGAAGAGAGCTCGTTTGCCTTATCTGTAAGCGCTTCCACCAGCTACAAGACACGAGGCACAAAGGGAGGATGAAGGACAACACCCACCCAAATGCCTAACAGCTTAAAAACATTAAAAAGATGTCACGTGTTTAAAAGTTAAACTCTCCCAACTCAAGTTCTGCAATGAGTCTAAGGTATTCAGAAAAATAACTGTACCAAGATGACACCCTTCTAGACTAATCTAAATACGACAACACATGTGGTGCACAAACAGAGAGGGTCCAGCCTCATCACCTGCTATCTCACGGCCTGGGCCACAGGCATTTTATGGGACCAATGATCCAAATGCTGCTTGCAGCAACATTTACATCCACAAAATGTATCCAGTACATAGTCATCGAAGTCAACAATTTCTCTTTCAAAGGAAGAGATGAACAATGAATTCAGCAATGAATTGAGAACTTGAAAAAAAAGAAAAAAAACCTCACACAATCAACTGGCTAACAGGCTGGGCGTGGTGGCCACATTTGCAATCCCAGCACTTTAGGAGGCTGAGGCGGGCAGATCACCTGAGGTCAGGAGTTCAAGACCAGCACGGCCAACAAGGTGAAACACCATCTCTACTAAAAATACAACAATTAGCAGGATATGGTGGCACATGCCTGTAGTCCCAGCTACGCAAGAGGCTGAGGCAGGAGAATCGCCTGAATCCAGGAGGTGGAGGCTGCAGTGAGCCAAGACTGTGCCACGGCACTCCAGCCTGGGCAACAGAGCAAGACTCTGTCTCAAACAAACAAAAAACACAAAAAAACAAAGGGCCGCCTGGTCCTCTCTTCTGCCTCTGCATACAAGCTGCGTCACGGGCTCTGCTCCAGTGTCTTAGGAATCTGCCTGATCAAAATTTCATTCTCAGTTCCAAACAAAATTTTCCCTCTTTTCTAATGTCCAAAATAGAAAATTTGTAACTACTTTTACTGTGGAAAGGAGAAGAAAAATGTCTCACATAATAGAAAAGTGTCAGAATATGACACTTTTTCTTCACCCACACCTCCACCGTGATGCTTCCACACAGCAGTGCAGTGGCGGCAGGAGCTGCAGAAGCCACTCTACCCTAAGCACATGTGTGTCACATGCTAACTGATGGAGGCTTGTTTTCTGTTTGTTTCCCTGGTTCTCTGTTTTTTCCCATAAATGCTACTATAGTAACTAACCTTCTTTACCTATCTTTAATATGAGTATATGTGGTATTTTGGGAATTCCCAACAATTCAAACAAAGGAATGAAACAGCAGCTGGCTGCTCTCCTTGTAGGCAGATTCCAGGTGCACACAATCTGTAAAAGCAAAGCAGTGCAGCTCTGCAATGACAGGCTGATCTGCTCAATGTCTTCTCAAAGCTACACACCCATCTCCTGCACATGTCCCTCGAAACTAATGACAAACAAGGGCCACGCAATACACCACTTAATAAAGGTGACCCCACAATTACATCACTGGTCACTAGGTCCGGAAACAAGGTCACTGGAAACAAGGGTCTGAAACTCATATTCCCAATACTACCACAAAAAGTACATTGGGAAAAGCTGGTTTCCTGACTGAAAAAGATTTAACATTCCACTGAGCAAGCGAGTGCCCAAGCTCCATTCCTGTTAGCACAGTAAGCTCTTGGGCCAACTGGGGACCCGTCATCCTCCTGCAGTGAGCAGAAACACAAACATCCTCAACATCAGTGTGCCCCCGAGTTCCCCAGTTCCCAAACACGTGCAGTGCCCTGCACAGGATACCCTCCACACAATGCAGTGAAGTATAACTGGATATGGAATTGACAGGAGTCCACTATACAACACCACCACACTCCCTAGGTGGTCTCAAGCAGCAGATAAATATCTCGGCTAAACAATCAATGATGCCGAAATCAAAAATGTCAATTCTGTTGAGGGTGCTTAGGCATTCGGGTCAATGGTATCAAAACACACTACTGCAGTTAACTTATTCTAACATTTAGGGTTTTGCTTTGTAGGGAACATCCAGGCAGACATATCTGGGTTAAAGTGCTGTCTGAAAGCAAATGTCCCCGGGCAGCTGCTTTAGGCCTTGCGACTCACTTTCACATCTCCTGGGCTGTGGTCACCCTACCCACCTTTTACAGTACCACGCAGAATTCTGTGGCTTCACAGAAATACTCATCCAATAGGCCCCAGCATGAGTCAGAAATGTATCTCTTCTGGATTACATCCATGTAGAGATGAGCTAGCCTTCCAATCGTGAAAATATAAGCTAGGCTGAATGAAGAGTTTATGGAATATCTAAAACACGTTGTTCTTTAAAGTCAACAACACAGAATAATTACCACTCAGATTTGCTGATGACATGCCTCGAAATCATAGGATCCTCTAAGATTCTCTTTTCTGAAATACTCACTAGCTGACTATACCAGACACAGTCTAGCATTTCATCTGATTATCAACGAACAGCTTTAAAAGAGAGCTTACAAAGCACTGAGCCCAACAGAAACTACTTCATTTTTAAATTAAAAATCAAAATGTTAATGCTTCAGTCTATGGCTCCCATTAGATCCTCAGATACTAATACTTAAGTTTTCTGAACCCATATACTACGAGCTAGAAATAATAATGTAAGAATCAAAGACAGTTATTTCCTAAAAACACTCCCTACCATCTTCTGGGAATTATAAAGATGATAACAAGTGACCAACAGAATTATACCCACCTGTGGGTTTTCATGTGCTTTTTGCAATTTAGTGAAGTCTTAAATGTTTTTTGGCAATAGGGACACATATACGGACGAAGGTCGTTGTGAATTCCCATGTGTCGCCGTAAGCTGCCACCAGTAGTGAAAGCCCCATTACATAGCAGACACTTGAAAGATTTCAGTCCCGTGTGTGTTCGGACATGCGCTTTGAGCACGCCCGCAGAAACAAAGCCTCTTCCACACTGAGAGCATTTAAAAGGTTTTTCACCTGTATGGGATCTTAAAAGAAATAAACATTTTAATGAGTGAGTTTCTTACCCTTGTATAGTGCTTGGTGACTAGAAGGCACTTCACTTCACTTGGTCATCACGTCCTTTACAGCTAAGCAGCAATGCCATGGCTCTCCACATCTTACGGATGAGGAGGCCTGAGACTCAGTGCTGAAGTCACACGATAGACGAAGCTAGAAGCCAGGGCTTTTTCTAAGTTCTCTACTTTTTTCGTGATATCACACTGTCCCTCATGATTAAGGTTCAACTTCCCTTTCACTGTGGCTAGCACTCAGAATTAATCTAAACTCTGATAAATATATCTGAAAAACATAAACAGAAGTCTAATAAAGTCAACCAAATACTTCGATATTTCTTGGAAATTGCACAGTGAAATTTAAACGGGCATATATATAAAATCCAGTGGCAATTTCTGGGTAAAACAGTTTAGTGAAGACATTAAAGAATAAAAACATTAATTACCAATAAATATTTTGGAGGCAAATGTGACATCTTAAATACCAAAAGCTAATGCTACCATCCTAAGTCATCAGGTCACCAAGTCAGTTTACTGATACTAAATTTCCATCTGTGAATCTGTGACCTTACCTGATGTGTTGTTTAAGGTGGCAAGATTTTTTATATGCACGATGACAGTAAAAACACTTGTATGGTCTATCTGCTTCATTTACAAAATTATTATTAAAATAGCTTTGGAAAAACTGGTTTTTTGGAATGGGCTGGATAAGACCTACAAACCAAAAGAAAAGCAGACATAATTCACTGTCAAGGCTAGTAATAAAATTAAATGTCACAAGGCATATGTTTTACCCAGAAGATGAAAATTCTGGTAAGTTAGATTCTAATGTTGCAACTATGTTATTTTAATTGCTGGAAACTGGCTATTCAAAGAATACCTATGGGAAAACATAAATTAATATATGTATAACATTATAATTAATATAAACATTATAAAATTAATATATATTAATGTTCCTCATTTTTTCAACATGAGAAATATCTCGTCACAATTACTTCCCTTGATGCCACAGCCAATTTATAATGAATTCCTACATTTACTTTCTATATGGGCATTTATTGACATGGAATTTACACAACTACGTCCACAATTCAGGTTAAGCAGGATTTAAATACCTTGTTTCTTCAGCATGAATACTGCACAGTAGGTACTATAATACACTCAAAACCAAAGTGATTCTAACATGATCTTCTGCTATACAATGGTTAGCGTTTTCACGGATATCACTAACGGCATCTGTGAAACACTAACCATTTTAGAACAGAAGATATCCTTTGTTATTAACCATAAAGATGTCTTTTGTTATTTGTAGATCTACAAATAACAGAATTACTAACTTAAACCTTTCAGGTTTTAAATACATTTACTAAGTAACAAATTCCTTCCAGTCGACCAGCTAATAAACACGACTTGATCAAGCTACTGCATTGTATCAGCAATTCAGGACAAACGTAGGGGTAAACTTTTGAAATCCTTAAAAGTCCCTTGGGATTTTTAAGGTACACAAGAGGAAGAGGTACACAATCAGTCCTCCATCAGCCTTGGGCTGCTCCTCCTCCTGCACAGACAAGGAGGCGCTGGCCAAGACTCTGTCCTCTGCCCACAGCTCTCCACTCCCAGTCCTCTCTCCTCCCTCAGTCGCACCTTAACTTCTATGCAATGAGTAGCATGATGTACCTCTTAACATACATGAGAAATATCTTCTCTCCTGACTTTCCACAGAAATAGATTCCATTTCAATTTTTTCCCCTAAGACCTATTTCTCCCAGCTTTCCTAGTGGCAAGCCTGGAACAGTCTTCTCCTGGTCTCCAAGGCTGGGGAGCCCTGGGCCTCAGAGAGCTCCCTTCCCCGTCTTGTACTCCGCATCTGACAGTCCTGGTGATCAACACTGCTCCAATGTCTCTTATCTTGAATCTTCCCTTGTTTCCCACTGCCGCCAATCTCGAATAACAGCAAAACAGTTACAAAGCTGGAGGGAATTTGACAGCCCAACCAGTTTCACCTCGTTCATTATCAGACTTAAGGAAATTCACCTATGATTCCTGATGCTTGCATCAGAACCTTACCTATTTTTCAGAAAGTATTCAGAACCCTCCCTTGTGATTTGTATATATAATCCACACAGCACAACCCTTAAGACTGCCAAGGCTTTTCTCATCTCACAAGCCTTCTGGACCAAAAGAGCTATGTCAAAGACCTCTCTCCAGGCCACTCTGACACCACCCTGTGCTTGACAGCACAGCCTCACTGTTTCCTCACAACTCGTCCTGCTCAAAAGAGAAAACTGAAGGCTGGGCACGGTGGCTCACGCCTATAATTCCAGCACTTCAGGAGGCCAAGGTGGATGATCGCCTGAGGTCAGGAGTTTGAGATCGGCCTAGCCAACACAGAGAAACCCCGTCTCTACTTAAAAAATATATATATATATAAATTAGCCAGTTGTGGTGGCACACACCTGTAGTCCCAGCTACTCGTGAAGCTGAGGCAGGAGAATCACTTGAACCTGGGAGAGAGAGGTTGCAGTAAGCCAAGATCGTGCCAGCGTACTCTAGCCTAGGTGACAGACTAAGACTCCATCTCAAGAAATGAAAAAAAGAAAGAGAAAATGCAGGCATCCAGTACACAACTACCACCTTCCCCAGGATACACATGCTGTGACATGCAGACTGAATGCCATGCCTGGTTCTCAAAAACACTGATGGCTAACCCTGGACCCAGGTTCTCTCTGTCAAGGAGTCCCCTAGACTTATATGTGTCCCTATTGCCACAAACATTTAAGACTTCACTAGCTAGCTAGCTTGCTCAATGAACATTCAGTTATTCTCATAACACTGGCAGAAAAACATCTAGTTGACTAAAGTAAGCTATGATCCCAATGGTAGTTTACTCAAATGCCTTCTGCAGCACACCACCAAGTATTTAACTGCTATGACTGTCTGGCATGGCACTCAACACCCCATCCGCCATGTCCCTCTGTATCTTCACACTCTTGCTGTGTCCTGGATTTCCCATCTCTGCATCTTAGTTCCGCTTCTGTGCCAGTCACTGCTTGTCCTCATGTCTTTTCCCCATTCTACCAGGCTTTCAGCTTCTTGAGCCTGGGACTTCCATGGTAATCACTGACATAGCTCTGAGCCCACCTACCACCTGCGGTTAAGAGGATACATAAGCATGACTGAAGAAATTGACCCGTTCTCAGTGTGTATCCCTACACAGAGAAGGAAAGAGGAATGCACAATTCAAACCAAGGTCATTTATTTATCATCTTATGGTCAACATTTATTGGACTCCCATGTGTTTAGGGAACTATGTGAGGTTCTTAGAAGAATTACCCTCAAAGGTGAACAGAAAACTAATAGGACTATTCTTCAAAATGGCAACTAAAAAGAGCACTAACTAAGCTTATAAAACTTCATATTTCAAGTGCCCATCTCAGAGGGCCTCTGTGGTGATGCATGACAGCAACTACTGTGGTAGCAGAAACAATCACTTAGAATTTTATACAGACAGCTTCAACAACTATTAGCATAAAGTTAATTAAAATTATAAACTCCAACTAATATTTAATAAGCCATTTTCTTGCTCCTTGTTAAACTAAATGGAATGAATTTTAAAATAAAAATAAAAATTTTAAAAACTCAGCTGGGCGTGGTGGCTCACACATATAATCCCAGCACTTTGGGAGGCCAAGGAAGGTGGATCACCTGTGGTCAGGAGTTTGAGACCAGCCTGACCAATATGATGAAACTCCGTCTCTACTAAAATACAAACAATTAGCCGGGCGTGGTGGTGGACACCTGTAATCCCAGCTATTCTGGAGGCTAAGACAGGAGAAATGCTTGAATCCGGGAGGCAGAGGTTGCAGTGAGCCATGATTGCACCACTGCGCTTCAGCCTGGATGACAGAGTGAGACAGACTCTGCCTCAAAAAAAGAAAAAAAATTTAAAAACTCTTCCCACCACTAAAATGAATTATATAATACAGAAATATTGGAAAAATTTATATCGTTTATTAGATATGTAATACACAAAACAAAAGCAAGAAAAAAGATGCAGCAAAGTGAAATTACTTCAAGCAGCTAAGTACATAAATTCATGGAAGTAGGTAAACTAGGAATTGCAAATTCACAAAGTCATTTTTAAAAAGTAAGAACCCTCCAATGGTTGTCTTACATCTGTATCCAGGGGGAAGAAAACAAGACACTTCACAAATAGAAAAGCCCAACATTGCTCTTGCCATTTCCCACGCCAAAAGACATTATGTCTTATGAGAGGGAAAGAAGGGCTACCAACTAGTCCGAGCTGACTTCCGTAAGGCGTTAGGGTTGCAGGTGAGTCTCTCCCTGGAGCTCTGCAAGCAGACACTAAGCTCATTCCATGTGCTTTCCCAAGAGTAGTCCAGGCTTCAGGCTACACCTGATTTAGCCCCTTTACACAGACAAACCCCACCAGCAGACCCAGCCCCTGATGCTGGTGCTCTAGCCTTTACTGAAGAACTGAAGCGAACTGATACCAGATTCTGATCTGGAGACCTCCACCCTGAGATCACACCAGGCCTCACCGCTCTGAGCCCTAAGGAGGCCCAGGGACCACTCTCCTCTCTGTACTATTCCCCATCCTGCTGCAGGGTGCCCCCAGCATCCATCTATGCAGCAGACAGCCCACAAGTCTCCCAATCTCCTTCCTACACTTTCTCCCGTGGCTTCTGGAACCCACACTGCACAGTGAGCAAGTGCTCCAGCATAAGCAACTTCCCAGAACGCACAGTTCATCGTTTCCTTTCCACAGCTGCACCGAGCTATAGCCCTCAGAGCTCTCTCATGCTTCCTCCTATCCACTTTTTGAGTCAGATGAACCCTAGGCTAGTGTCTTAGCCTGTCTTCCATCTCCCAGTCTATTAGATCATCTGTCTTCAGTCCTTCCCAGTCCTGCTGGGACTCCATGAACTGAATTACTTTCTCCAATTCCTTATCCAAACCACTCTTATGCAACCTCCAACTCATGTGGCCCCTTCTCAAATAATTCAGAATACCATAAAAAGACACACACACACACAAAAGGAAATTGCACAGTAACGTCTCTCAAAAAAATCAAAATTCAGTGTAGTGTATACTCTAAGAAAAAAACAAATTACACATGAACGTAAGTGAGATCAGCCACACATGCAGTTCTGTAATTACCTGCTATGCTTAGTACAGACACGTTAACATCTTCCCACGTCATGACATATGACCTCATCTCCATCATTCTTTGGATGTCTGCACAGAACTCCATGGCACCAAGGTTTGTTCATCATACTTTTGAGGAATATTTTGATTGCTTCTAACTTTTCACTATCATAAACAATATTGTGATGAATAATCCTACTATATACAACTGTTATCTTAGTTATTTCTCCCCAGACATGGAACTGTACCCCGTGGGGGTTGTAGCTCGGTATGTGTACTTTGGAACAGAACCCTAGAAGACTCTGAGCCCTTGTGGTGAGGGAAAAGGATGTTTCTTCTTTGAGCCAGAAAAGAAGTAAAATAATAGGCTCATTTTTCGAGTGCTGTATTTTTCACCTTTACTAATCTTAAATACAAAGTTCTGATCAAAGTTAGGCTAATTATGAGGTCTCAAACTTTGAAGAAAAAAAATTAATGAGAAATTAAACATACATAAAAAGTCCTATATTAATCATTTCTACTATATTATCAGTCCTTTGACATGTTTCTTTCTTATACAAAGAAACTACTTATCTTAGAGAAAGGCATGAATAAATTTTAGTTAATTAACACCTGAAAAAGAAACAAGAAATGTTCTTAAAGCATCCTAAAATTCCTTCTATAATAACAGAAGCAAAAGCTTCATCCTGTAGGCTGCCTGGGGGAAATACAACTATTCTTACCACAGCTTTTATATACAGTATTGCACATAGTAACAGCATGTAAACCCTCAAGAAAAATGTGAACACGACACGTATCATACATCAAACATGAGTATATCTCATAAATGTGTATACAAGGTTGGACAATGGGTTTACAAGTACTTGTATTAAGATGACAAGCAAGTATATTAATAGGATTAATACATCAAAAATAAACTTGAAAGATCCATCATTACATCCTTGACATTTAGAATAACAGACAACCAAAGCCTGGCTCACATCAAAGGAAAGATATTTCAAACATTTATGCTAAGCAAAATGAAAAAATGGTGACATTATTCACATAAAGCCACATAATATAGAAAAATAGTTAAAACAGACATGTCATATATATGATTTTAAAATCCAGAAGGAGCTCCAGATCAAAATATTATAATTACATGTCTCCAATACTTCCTCAGACAGCACATTGAAAATTCAGTTCCTTAGCTTGAAGGAACAAGCATAACAAAGAGAGTATCCAATGAAATGCAATTGCTACAATGTCATAAAATATATAATATCCAAGTTACATAAGGACTAATAGTACTTACACCAAGATATAATTATTATACTATCTGAAAATCACAGTGTGCTCTTCCATAATTCCGTGCTCAGCAGGACTATGGAAGTGGCTGTGGAAGGAAGTGAATTGTAGATGAAACTGAACCCTAGTCTACAAGTCAGAAGACCCAGATTCTAGGTCCACCGTGAAACAAGCCAGCTGTACGACCCACAAGCAAAGTCAGCAATTCTCTCTAGACCCTAGTTGTTACATCCACAAAAATGAAGAACAGGGAATGCAGGAAAGTTTGGAAGGAAAATGTTTTAGTTCCCATGTAACTCTATAAGTTTCTAAAAATTTATGACCAAATGTACGATACCACGCAAAAGTGCTTCCTTAATAATCAGAGAATTAATTACTTGGCATAGTATTTTTAACGTATTCTAATGCTGTTTAAAAGGACAGTCTCAGTGTAAAACATACTGCATTTTGAGTAAGTACACTGAACCCGAAGATCTCATCTCCCAACTAAGTCAAATAACTAAGTATTCTATGCTAAAACCTCTTCTTATCATGTTTTTTATCAAACTCTTGTCCCCCAAAGGTTATGACAGCCAAGTCTTTTCTGTAGCCTCTATGGGGCCCAGAGTCTGAGAGAAGAGATGAACACAAAAATAAATAACAAAAGAACTAAGCATAAGACAAAGCTACAGTATTTTATAACTTACAGTATGAAGCGCCCTCTAGGAATCATTTCCCTCATGTGTCCCAGTCAGCCTAAACCAAAGAAGTCAACTGCCACTATCTGGTTTAAGATACAAGCATCTGTGAAGCCAATAAGTAAAATATATCCCATTTCAACCCTGACAAATTTCTGAAAAGTCAAGACTCTAACTCAACTGAAGATTCATAAACTTGAAGTCAAGAAACCCAGGGGTGTATAACTTGATTTTCAGCAACCTGGAAGAAGAAACTGGTCTGTTGTTTCATTCTTGAGCAACCAAAACTAGACAAGGATATGAAAGTATTCTAAGCTACTGTGGGGTTTTGATCCCATTCTATGCTCAAAAACAGTTAAATATGATAATAATTATAGTTCCTAGGAAGCTTAGTATAATTCATATATAAAATTATCAGATTTTTTTTTTTTTTGAGACAGTTTCGCTCTTGCCCAGGCTGGAGGGCAGTGGTGCGATCTTGGTTGCAACCTCTGCCTCCTGAGTTCAAGCCATTCTCCTGCCTCAGCCTCTCGAGTAGCTGGGATTAGAGGTGCCTGCAACCATGCCTGGCTAATTTTTGTATCTGTAGTAGAGATGGGGTTTTGCCATGTTGGCCAGGCTTGTCTCAAACTCCTGACCTCAAGTGATCCACCCACCTTGGCCTTCCAAAGTGCTAGGATCACAGGCGTGAGCCACCATACCCAGCCATGCTGATATTTTGGAGATCTTTCACTATCTTGCCAATTTGTTGTGTATTTTGGAGTATTCTATTTCTTCTACAGTCAGTTCTACCAAGTATATTATTCTAGAAAAGATTCATTTCATCAAAATTTTCAAATATATTAGCAAAAAGTTGTAGACTATTTGCAAACAATTGTTACCTCATTTGTATCTGTGCTTACAACTTCTTTCTCATTCCTAATATTATGTTTTCTTGGTGACCAGGCATCTATTATTCTGTTCATTTTTTTGTCTTCTATCTTCAAGTCCATTATATGTATGAATTCATGGGTCCCCAAGCTCCAGGTCACCTGTTAGTAACTGGGCCAGGCAGCAGGAGGTGAGCAGCAGGTAAGTGAGCTTTACCACCTGAGCTCTGCCTCCTGTCAGATCAGCAGCGCATTAGATTCTCATAGGAGAGGGAGCTCTACTGTGAACTGTGATTCTCATAGGAGTGTGAACCCTATTGTGAACTGTGCATGTGAGAGATCTAGGCTGCATGCTCCTTCTGAGAATCTAATGTCTGATGATCTAAGTGGAACAGCTTTACCCTGAAACCATTCCCCCACGCAACCCCCCATCTGTGGAAAAATTGTCTTCTGCAAAACTAGTCCCAGATAACAAAAAAGTTGGGAACTGCTGTATTAATTCCTTTCTGCTACCTTCTTTTAATTTTCCTAGTTTTTGAGTTAAATATTTTACTTATTTTCAATCAGTCTTATTTTCTAATAATACTCAAAAGTCTTAATTTTTCCTAGGACAGCTTTGGTCCATCCAATCTGTTTACATAATACGCACCATCTGTAGTACGCAGTGTCTGTTTTGAGTCCTTCTTTTCATGTAATACAATTTTGGATGGCTATTTTATATAAGTTTTTCAGTGAACTAAAATCAAAGATTATATCCTGTATAAAATCAAATTCTGAGAATTTATTGAAATTTTTCTGTACCATAGAATGTGATCAACTTTTGTTTCATGCATATTTAAAATGTGTCATTTAAGGCAACAGATTATATAAAGCTATTAAGTAACACTTTTCATACATGAGCTCGAATCTTCAGTTTTAGTGTGTTTAAGTTGACCTAATTAAGGATATTTCACTACACTTGAGATGTTGAGTACTTCCTCCTTCTTCAAATTCTTTTTGGTTTCTATATTTTGATGTTAAACTCTTAGATTCACACAAGTTTATGGCTGTTGATCATCTTATTGGTGGCCTTTTATTTATATCTAAAATCTCTCTGTACACTGTTTTGGAATAAAGGAATTACATTTTGTTTACTATGCTTACAGATTGAATTATCTTTCCTAGGAAAGTAGTGAAATACAGAAACTGCATAAAAATATAAATTCACATACAGAGTTTAATAAATGCTATGGTCTCAATGTTTGTGACTCCCCAAAATTCAGGAAGTAAAAGGTAGGACCTTTGGGAGGACATAGCCAGAAGGCACCATCTATGAGGAGGAGAGACCTCAGGAGACACTGAATCTGCTAGCACATGATCTCAGACTTCCCAGCCTCTAGAACTGTGAGAAGTAAACTTCTAGTATTTATAAACTGCTCAGTCAGTGGTATTTTGCATTCAGAAGCTCAAACAAACTAAGAATGAGGTTTCTTAAAATTTTTTTTTCCTGGATTTGGTGCAAAAGTAGAGGTTTCTTAAATTTTGTTCTAGTACTGACAGAAATAACTTTTCTGAAGATACTAACAAGCAGTGTTTTCCTTCTAGATTAACAAAATCATAGTTTGGGTTGGTTATAATGACACTGAATCTAAAAAGAACTTATAAGCAGGCAGAATTTTCTTTTCCTTTTTAATGCAAAGATTAAAGTAGCCCAAATAACACAAAGAACCTAAAGATGAAAACAACAACAGTGCACTGTATGTTTCACATAAATACCACTTGGCACCTTTGATGGTTCCATTAAGGCAGCAATGTTTCTTCAGTGAGGACTTTTACACTACTGTTTTCACTTACACATTATTTGTCTCTTAAAAAACAATGTGAGTAGCAGTTTGGATACAGTCAGGATTTCGATCTTGATTGTAAAACATGCTAGCCCATAAAGCAAAACAAGGCTTAACACAGATCTCAATCATACTAGGCCTAAAAAACTATTTAACTACATAGACCATAATTTGCATACACAATTCATGAAACAGCAAAGAAAAGAGTACTCGATAAATTTTAACGACTCCCTGCAACCTCTCTTACCTAAGTCAGTTATGAGGATTGGTTCCTGCAAAGGAATGTCAGGGACTGGAGCATTCGTCTTGCCAACACGAACCTTTGCAGGTTTTCGCTGGTGCCTCAATTTCCTTAATTCCGTATGTTTAAAGTGGGAAGCAATGTGAGTCTTCCTATGGCCTGAGGTTCGAAACTTTTTGTCACAGTGAGGACAAGCAAAAGGTCTAACTCCTAATAAAAATAAAATCACATTTTAGTATTACTTCAAGAAATTACATCTCAACAGCAAATGCCAACATAAAATGTTAGTATTTCCAATACTGATTTGAACCTTCAATTGATTAGGCCATGCTTATAATTTCATGGATACTGTAAATTATTTTCCCTTATTTGCATAGAGTGCATATTATAGATATGAAGGCATGTAAAAGGAGCATTTTAAGTATATAAAAAAAAGAACATTTAGTATTTTTAGGACAAGGTCTTAAATTGTAAAATATGGATATTCAAACAACTAGTACTTCTTAAAAATTCTACAGTATGTAAGGATACTCTCTCTCAAGTCCCCATCTGGAAAGTGGCTTAAGGACACCGGCCTCCAGGGCTGCTGCTGGGATTATGTAAGCTAATGTTTAAACAGCACTTAGTAATGTCTCACATTTTGCAAACAAACAATAAATAGTAGTTGCTACTGATTGTGAACTATGATAATAACAGTACTAGCATCCTGTAATGATCCTCTTACTACTGTGCCCCACTTCTGAAGATAATTCCTTGTTTCATAATTTCATTAGCAAATGAAAATGTAAATTTCAAAGAAAGACATACAACAAAATTGAGTAATTTCAGCTTTGTCAAACACATCCACAGGGTCAGCCCAGCAGAGGATCCCTGAAGGAATTTGGGAGATACTGCCAGTGAGTGCAGGGTTTCTTTGAGGAGGGAGCGGTTATAAAAATATTCCCAAATCAGACAGTGGTGTGGGCTTCACAATTCCAAATTGTATACATTAAAAGGGTAAATATTAGAATATGTAAACTACATCTCAATAAATATATCATTTAAAAAAATTTGGAGCTCCATAATGAAAGATTTCATGCCTTAATACTGATTAGAAAGCCTCAGTACAAACAGGCCCCTGATCCTCCCCCTGGCCCAGCTAAAGCCTTCAGAGCTTCCCAGATCATATGGAGACTAAGCGTTGTGTCCTCAGAAAGGCTCACTCAGCCTAAATCTAAATCTGATCCGAACAGAAGTCTCTTTTCACCCTCTGCAATTCTGTGTTCATTTTTAAGTGTTGCTTGTTTTTAATGCCTCCCCCAGCATATCCTTAGCTCCGTGGAGATCAGGTTGCACCTGTTTTCTTTACCTGTAGATGCCTCGTGCCCACCCTACAGAAAAGTCTCAACAAGTACTGATGAAAAGACGGAAACCATCCTCCAAGTATTTAATTACTGCTCTCCCAGGTGCCATGACCCAATCCCTTCTCAGCACCTGTGTGCAGTACTGTATGCAGTACCTACTGGCAGTGGCTGCGTGTGCCACTGTGTTTGGTACCATGTGTGGTACCTGTGTGTGGTACTGTGTTTAGTACTGTGTGTAGTACTGTGTTTGGTACTGTATGCACTACTTATGTGCAGCACTCTGGTACTCTGTACAGTGCCTGTATGTAGTACTGTCTTTGATACTGTGGGTGATGCCTGTGTCCAGTACTGTTTAATAATGTGTGTAGTACCTGTGTACAGTACCTGTGTGCAATACTGTGTTTAGCACCTAAGTGCAGTACTGGGTATGTGGTACTATGTCCAGTACTGTATGTGGTACTGTATGCAGCCCCTGTGGGCAGTTGTGTGTAGTACTGTGTTTAGTACTGTATGCTGTACTATGTTTTGTCTTCTATGCACTACTTGTGTGCAGTACTGTGTGAGATGCCTGTATGCAGTACTGTTTGGTACGGTGCATAATGCCTGTGTGCAGTACTGTTCAGCACTGCATGTGGTACCTGTGTTTGGTACCTAAGTGCAACACTGTGTGGTACAGTGTGCAGTCCCTGTGCAACACTGTGTGGTACAGTGTGCAGTCCCTGTGGACAGTACATGCATGCAGTACCATGTTGGGGATTGTGCACAGTACCTGCGGGCAGTACTGTTTGGTACCTGTGTGCAGTACTGTGCTTGGTACCTAAGTGTAGTACTCTGTGGGGTACTGTGTGCAGTACTGTGTGTGGTACTGTATACAGTCCCTGTGGGCAGTACTCATAGGGTACTGGGTGTGTGGTATTATGTTTAGTACTGTGTTGAATACCATATGTATTTGGTACTATGTGCAGTACCTGTGTGCAGTACCTGTGCATGGTACCGTGTACAGTCCTGGTGGTCAGTACCTGTGTGGGTGCAGCACTGCAGGCCATACTTGTGTGCAGTACCTGTATACCATACTATGTTTGGTACTGTGTGTGGTCCCTGTGGGCAGTGCCTGAGTGCAGCTCTACAAGCTATACCTGTGTGGAGTAATGTGTTTGGTACTGTGTACAGTACTGTGTTTGGTACTATACTGTGTGCAGTACTTGTGTTCAGTACTGCATTTGGTACTGTGCTTGGTGCCTGTGCACAGTACCTGTGTTTGGTACCTTGTGTGGTCCCTGTGGGCAGTACCTGTGTGGGTGCAGCACTGCAGGCTGTACTTGTACGTGGTACTGTGTTTGGTACCTGTGTGTGGTACCTGAATTTAGTACTGTGCTTGGTACTGAGTTTGGTACCTGTGTGCAGTACCTGTGTTTGGTACCCTGTGCAGTTCCTGTGACCAGTGCCCATGTGGTTGCAGCACTGCAGACCATACTTGTGTGTGGTACCTGTGTGTAGTCTCTGTGGGCAGTGCCAGGGTGGGTACAGGACTGCAGGCCACACCTGTGTGCAATACTGTGTTTAGTACTATGTATGGTGCTGTGTGCCGCCCCTGTGGGCAGTACTTGCGCACAGTACTTATGCATGATGCTGTGTTGGGTACTGTGTGCAGCACCTGTAGGCAGTACTTGTGCAGTACCTGCGTATAGTGCTGTGTTGGGTACTGTGTGTGATTTCTGTGTTTGGTAACTGTGTGCAGTCCCTATGGGCAGTGCCTGTGTGGGTGCAGCTCTGCAGGCCACACCTATGGTGTGGGTGGTATTTTGTGCAGTGGGCGGTACTTTATGCAGTCACTGTGGCAATACTTGTGTAGGCTTGTGTGCAGTACCTGTGCACAGTGCTGTGCTGGGTACTGTGTGCAGTATCAGTGTTGAGTACCTTTGTGCAGTACGCTGTGCAGTCCCTGTGGGCAGTGGCTGTGTGGGTGCAGCACTGCAAGCCACACCTATGGTGTAGGCAGTACTTGTGTGCAGTACCTGCGCCCGTATTGTGTGCCACACCTGTGTTTGGTACCTGTGCGCTGTACTGTGTGCACCCCCGTGGCCAATAGCTGTATGGGCGCAGCCCTGAGGTCGTACCTGTGTGCAGGCGGATGTGCACCTTGAGGCTGCCCGAGGTGGAGAAGCTCTTCATGCAGTACTGGCACTTGAATGCCTTGATGCCAGTGTGCGTCTTGATGTGGGCCGTCAGTGTGCTTTTCACGGCGAAGGCACGGAAGCACTGCGGGCACTTGAAGGGCTTCTCGTGGGTGTGGATGCGGATGTGGCGCACCAGGTCGCTGGGCTTGCGGAACTCCTTGGCGCAGTAGGGACACACGTGCCATCGCACACCGTTCTCCTCACGGATTGAGCCTGTGGAGGGAGAGGACACGTACCACTCGGCCTTGACGCCACACCCAGTGTCCTGGCCAGGGCCCCCTGCGGTCCCTATAGAAAGCTGTGAGTATGATCAGTTATGCGAAAGCTTGCAGTTCTCAGGATGGCTGACATTATCAAGGACTATGAGTTAATCTTGCTGAAACCCCTAACAGTTGGGGAAAACATAATTCAGTCTCTGAGAAAGTACACCCACTGAAAAAGTGATTGATCCTGTAGGTCCAGCGGCACCTCGGCTCCCTCTCAATGAGAAGGAAAGCAGATGGGATTAAATAACCCCATGCTTAATGCAAGGGACGGGAAGAAAAGGAGTGACGCTGGAATAAGTATTGAGCCTACTGGATATCGCCAATTAAAAAAATAAATGCAAATAATTAAAAAATGGTAAATTCATATGCAATAAAAGGCAATTTGTAAATAGTTAAGACAAATAGCATATATCAATTCGTGATAAAATATAAATGGATCTGTCTCCTGTATTATTATTCAATTTTGAATCGTTTAAAACTATTTCTAATAGAAGAAAAATCACAAATTGATGGAAATGCAGTAAGTATACCTGTCCGTCCGTTTTCAGTAGAAAACAGTGCCAAGACCCAAGTGGATGCCTGAAACCCCAGACAGTAGGGAAACCTACGTATACTACGTTTTTCTACCAATAACCAAGCCAGCTACTGAGTGGCTAATGCAGCAGTGTGAGTGCATGGGACACAAAGGGATGACCTGTGTCCCTCTCATCCCTCTTGGTATGGAGCAGGATGGCACAAGGTGAAATGGTAAGCAATTTACAACTTAAGAATTGTTTATTTCTAAAATTTTCCATTTAATATTTTTGAGAATTTGGTTGACTGCAGGTAACTAAAACTTAGAATCACTTTATTTTTTAAATTTTTGATTAGGGGAGACAGATCCAAGACGGCTGATTGCTAACAGTTCAGGATTGTAGCTCCCAGTGAAAGCGCAGAGAACGAGAGGACGCCACACTTTCCGATGAATTTTTGTCGCTCACGGACCAGAAGATTCCCAGTTGAGAAGCCCCACAGGTCACCAGCACGACTCCTGTGGCCGGCGCAGCGGTTTTGCCGGCACCTCAGCGTGGCAGCTCTTGGTGCAGAGTAAACGGGGACTGGTTCCCCTTCTGACCAATGTTTGGAGCTCCAGGAAGGCAGAGTCACCTATTACGGACTCAAGAAGGAAGCCAGACCGGAGATTCCGGGGCAGAAGAGCACCATCAGTCTTAATGCCACTGTTTTGGCCGGCGCAGTGGTTGCTCAGATTCTGGCACTGGGAATCAATAAATTGGACATCCACTCAGAAACCTAATTAGAAAGGTGGTAATTGTAAAGATGACAGATGGATAAATTTATAACGAAGGGAAGAAACCAGCCTAAAAAGGCTGAGAATACCCAAAATCAGAACACCTCTCCCTCTACAGGGGATTACAGTTCCTCATCAGCAACAGAACAAGTCCTGATGGAAAAGGACTGTGTGCCATTAACAGAAGTAGGCTTCAGAAGGTGGATGATAAGAAACTTCTGGGAGTTAAAGGAACTTGTTCTAACCCAATGTAAAGAAACTAAGAACTTTGAAAAAAGGTTTGATGAAATGCTAACAAGAATAGACAATATAGAGAGGAATATAAATGAACTAATGGAGTTGAAAAACACAACACGAGAACTTCGCGAAATATGCACAAGTTTTAACAGCCAAATTGATCAAACAGAAGAAAGGATATCAGAGGTCGAAGACCAACTCAATGAAATAAAACGAGAAGATTAGAGAAAAAAGGATAAAAGGAATGAGCAAAATCTTCAGGAAATACGGGACTATGTGAAAAGAACTAATTTACGTCTGATAGGTGTACCTGAATACGATGAAGAGAATTAATTCAACCTGGAAAATCCTTTTCAGGATATTATTCAGGAAAACTTTCCCAATCTAGCAAAGCAGGACAATATTCAACCCCAGGTAATATAGAGAACACCACAAAGATATTCCTCAAGAAGAGCAACCCCAAGGCACATAGTCATTAGATTCACCAGGGTTGAAACGAAGGAGAAAATACTAAGGGCAGCCAGAGAGAAAGGTCAGGTTACCCACAAAGGGAAGCCTATTAGACTTACAGCAGATCTCTCAGCAGAAACCCTACAAGCCAGAAGAGAGTGGGGGCCAATATTCAACATCCTTAAAGAACAGAACTTTCAGCCCAGAATTTCATATCCTGCCAAACTAAGCTTCACAACTGAAGGAAAAATAAAATCTTTTATGAACAAGCAAGTACTCAGAGATTTTATTACCACCAGGCCTGCTTTAAAAGAGCTTCTGAAAGAAGCATTACATAGAAAGGAACAACCAGTATTAGCCTTTCTAAAAATATACCAAAAAGTAAAGAGCATCAACATAAAGAAGAATTTACATCAACGAATGGACAAAAACAGCAAGTTAACATCAAACGGCTATAATCCTAAATTTAAATCAACTAAATCCCCCAATCAAAAGATACAGCCAAAATCCAACGGTATGCTTCCAGACCCATTTCACATGCAAGGATACACAAAGACTCAAAACAAAGAGATGGAGAAAGATTTACCAACCAAATGGAGAGCAAAAATAAATAAATAAATAAAAAGCAGGAGTTGCAATTCTCGCATCTGATAAAATAGATTTTAAAGCAACAAAGATACAGTGGTAAAAGGATCAATGCAACAATAGAGCTAACGATCCTAACACCCAGATACATAAAACCTATAAAGAGGCTTAGACTCCCTAGACTCCTACACAATAATTGTGGGAGACTTCAACATCAATATTAGATAGATCAACGAGACAGAAAATTAATAAGGACATCCAGGACTTGAACTCAGATCTGGAACAAGAAACTTAATAAACATTTATAGAGCTCTCCACTTTAAATACACAAATTGTACATTCTTGTCAGTACCACATAACACCTACTCATAGGTTTAAATGAAATACTGATCGGCCATTATTAAGCACAATTATTGGCATAAAAGAGGTTTTCAATACCCATTTTTAGACTAAAACAACATTCCCGTTCTCTCTCTCTCTTTCTTCCTCTTTCTTCCTCTCCTTCACTCCTTTTTTCCTTTCTTTAAAAGATAAATAAATAAATTTTTGATTTGATTTATTCATTTGAAATTAAGGTGACATGTAAAGTAACTATACAGATAACTCAGATAAAGAATCCACATGAAATCAGAAAGATTTTGGTCATGTTAACAAAATTCACCAGAACATTTTAACTAAAATTTACTTAACTGTGTCAGAAAAAGTTTTTTCTTTTTAAAGAAAAAGAAAACCTCTGTTTCCTTCTTTGTTATCACTAAATATAAGAAATTCTCCACATATGCAAGTAAATCTATAAAGGTAGAAAATGTATTTCCTCAAATACAATATTCTTCACAAGAGTAATTCATGTAAAAAAGAAAGGGGCCGGGTGCAAAGGGGCCAGGTGTGGTGGCTCACCCCTGTAATCCCAGCACTTTTGGAGGCTGAGGTGAGTGGATCACCTGAGGTTGGGAGATCGAGACCAGCCTGGCCAACATGGAGAAACCCCGTCTCTACTAAAAATACAAAATTAGTCGGGCCGTGGTGTCACATGCCTGATAACACAGCTACTCAGGAGGCCGAGGCAAAAGTGTTGCATGAACTGGAGAGGCGGAGGTTGTGGCGATCCAAGATTACTCCACTGCAGCCTAGGCAACAAGAGCAAAACTCCATCTCAAAAAAAAGAAAGGAAAAGAAAAAGAAAAAAAGAAAAGTGGTCAGGGCGCAGTGGCTCATGCCTGTAATCCCAGCACTCTGGGAGGCCAAGGCGGACAGATCACTTGAGCTCAGGAGTTTGAGACCAGCCTGGGCAACATGGCAAAACTCCGTCTCTACAGAAAAAGTTTTAAAACAATGAGCCAGGTGTGGTGATGCATGCCTGTGGTTCCAGCTACTTGGGAGGCTGAGGTGGAAGGATGGCTTCAGCCCAGGATGCAGGAGTTGTGGTGGGCTATGATTGTACCACTGCACTCTGGCCTTGGCAACAGGGCCAGACCCTATCTCAAAACAAAACAAAACAAAACAAAAAAGAATGAAAAATAATTTAAACAGTGACAGAATAGAAATAAAAACAAAGAAAGGCACAGACACAAATCACAGGGGTAAAAATGGAGAAGGAAATAAGGGAACTGGTTTTAAAATGAGAGACATTTATTTTGTGGTGACAGTGCATATTTTAAAGACATCTAAAATTTAAGACTGCTTAAAACTAATACGTAAAAATTAATTCAGAAATATGCATAGTTACCTACAGGCCTTATCATGACAAATAAAAAATGCAAGGTATAAAAGGGTATAAGAGACTATAGTATCTAGCAGTGAAAATTAGGACACCATTCCCAAGCAGTCCGATTTTTTCCAAACCAAAATAAAACTACATCTCTACTTATGCAGGGTGACATAATCTAAATCTGCCACCAGGTTCTAATATCTGGGAATAGACTAGAACAGAGACTACGAACTGGAAGTCCTGAAGCTGTCTCCAAATCCGGCCTCCATATGTTTTGTTTCACCCACACAATGTTAAAAAAGGAAGTGGAATCCAGATTTCCAACTCTGACAAATGGAAAGATCTGGAAAGCTAGATCTGCAATCCCACATGGCAAGCTTCCCTGGAGTTGGCCAATAGCTTTTCTCTTCAAATATATTAACAAATGTAGGGAAAAAGGATATATACACATCTTCAACATGAAAAGGTATTTGCTGCAACCCAACGTGTAGTCTTAAAAAAGGTCTAAAAAAGAAAAAGGTGAATAAAACATATCTCAATATAACAATCAACAACAGAAAAATATATTAAAGTCAGGGAAAAAGTCCACTATGACTGCCATTAATTTATAGTGACCTAGAGATACTAGTCAATGACATTAGACAAGATAAAGCAATATACACTATAAACTAGAAATGTC